ATTGGCTCTTTTTTAAAAATAAAATCACTGAGCTAATCACCAAATACGTTCCCCTTCGTACTGTCTACGCTAACAATAAATCACCATGGTATAACACACATTTGAATCGACTATCCTATAATCAAAAAACGCGTATTCCACACAGCAAAGCTTTACGCAACACCGTCACATTGGCAAGCATACAAAAACGCTGCAAGTTCATATCTCAGAGCCCTAAAATCAGCCAAATTCTCTTTCCTGAATCGCACGCTTCCAAACTTACTAAAGGCTAACCCAAAACGTTTTTGGGAGACTATCCGGGGAAATACACATAAAAATAGGATATCATTGCTCACAAGTTCTGGGGACCCTGTACCTGACCATTTGTGTTCTACTCTGCTAAATGAAACTTTTGCCTTGTCATTCTCATCTCCTCGCATTCTTGGTCCGATGCCCAAGATAAGTCCTACTTTCTACAATTTAATGAATCCCATAGTTTTCAACTCCACCCGTATCAAAGCCATCATTCACAAACTAAAATCTAAAGCATCATGTGGGTTAGATGAAATCAATTCTATCTTTTTGAAAAACGCTGCCGAATACTGTTCACTCATACTAGAACACATCTACTCACAATCGTACAACTATAGCACTTTACCATATGACTTGAAAACTGGTAGAGTAATCCCTATTCACAAGTCAGGACCATCCTATGACCCACGTAATTATAGACTTCTTTCTCTTACATCAGTGCCTTGCAAAGTAATGGAACACATAATTTACACACATCTGGTTAATTTTCTCGAAAACAACAACTTCTTTACGGCTATGCAGCACGGATTTTGCAAACAATTTTCCTGTGACACCTAACTCATCGCCTTCACTAGTTTCCTCCATGCAAACCTTGATCGCGGTTTTTCAACAGATTGTATATTTCTTAATTTTTCTAAAGCATTCAACAAAGTGAACCATGCACAGCTTCTTCATAAACTAAGCATTCTAAACATCGACTCGGCTATAATTAATTGGATTCGTGCCTTTCTGACATCACGTGTTCAATTTGTCACTGCTAACGATGCTAACTCCTCATTTGTTCCTACTGATTTCGGTTCCCGCAAGGGTCTGTGCTTGGGTCATTACTATTTCTAATTTATACTAATGACTTGCCTAATCATGAATGCTCAAAAATACATGCATGTCTGTTTGCAGATGACTGCGTCGTGTATAGAACAATAACTGATGCCGCAGACATTTCACTAATCCAGGAAGATCTTAATAACATAACTAAGTGGTGTCAATTATGGCAGATGGAATTAAACATAAAAAAATGTAAAAGTATAAGAATATCCCGTACTGCAATGACCTCGCCTACTTACGCACTGAATAACATTCCACTGTAATGCGTAACATCATACAAATACTTAGGTGTTCACATTACTAACAACTTATCATGGAAAACTCATATTCATCACAGCTACCAAGGCCACTGGCACATTAGGATACTTTCGCCGGAAGTTTTCTCAAGCTCCATAATAACTAAAACTACTAGTGTACACCATTTTAATTCGACTAAAGCTTGAATATGCATCGTCAGTATGGGACACCGGATATAAGAACCATATAAAACTACTAGAAAAAGTACAAAATCGCTCCGTCTGTTTCATTCTCAACGACTACCAAAGAGCTGCCAGTGTTACGAACATGAAAGACGTCCTACACTTTCCACTGCTATCACACCGCAGAAAACTGTCTCGACCCTGTCTTTTTCATACAATCTACTACCACAACCTATATTTACATTCTATTTTCATTCAGCCACCACCATACATTTCATCGCGCGTAGACCATCGGCAGAAGATAAACATTCCACACAGTAACGCCTTTGACTTTTCATATTCATGTTCCCCCAAACAACAAGGGATTGGAATAACTTACCTGCAACATTCACAAGCGTAACACAAAAAACTTCAAAATTGCTGTTCAGAGTTTTATCTCAAATTAACATCAGTGTTTGTTTTACACCTTTAATTGTTATGTAGACGGTTTCGCCAGAGCATGCCGGTCTCAGGCAACAATGTGCGTTCACCGGGAAACCATCCCTGGAAACTTTCGGTTTAGCTTGTTTTTGCATGGTTTTAGCGTTTGTTGCTGGCCACGGCTGCTTGTCTTCCGATGTTTTATACGGATAAAACTATTTCGATGAAGTGCAGGCAACTCGAGCGCAGCTTTGTCAAGCCAGGATGCAGTCTACATGCCTGAATTAATTTTATATGCTAGTCAAAACGTTCTGTTTTCTGACCGATGACGATATATAGAGTGTGCCTGCATTACAGCGATCACCGAGAAAACTGGATTCCCACCAAGAGCATGTAAGTTTGTTCTGCCCGTTTTATCAAAGGCAATGTAAGGCTCAGCGCAGACTTATGGCACAGAGGCGATATTCAGGTGTTAGACTAGTCGAAGGCCCCCGTTACCGGGAACACATCAGTCACTGTCGTCTTTCACCCGTGGCAGATAAGTGTACTGACGCCTGAAATAGGCAGCAAAACGTGAAAGTTAACACTGAAAATCCACCGCAAAGGTGTTTATTTAATAGTTTGAGCTATATAAATTATGCGTGCTGTTCGAAACAACACGGGGCACAAAGTAGCTGCGCTTAACATCACCGCACAATGTACGTCGAGGTGTCCACCTTTCGTTGTCGTTGCATTTGATTTTTTTAAAAGCGATATCGGCGTGTGGGCTCTCATCTGTGCGAGTAAATGACTCATCGCCTGTCTTTCTGTCGCTAATGAATATCACCTTATTCAAGCTCATTTATCTTTTCGGTGTGAACATGAACTGCCGGTTTAGGTAGGCTCAACTTGAAAGTTTGGTTCATGAATAGCTTACTCGTGAGTAAAACATAATAGTTCACGTGACACTGCAGCCGCAGTTTACATCATCACATTAGTAAATTTTATAATTTCTCATTCAAACTAACACTTCGAATTGCGAGCGATTCCAATCACCGCTGATCTCTTTAAAAAGTGCTCGATGTGACACAGGTGCAGAGATAAACGTTTTATCCAGAGGTTGTGTGCTTAGACGAAAATACAAATGCATTCAGGGTTCAACAGGAGGAAGGTTTTCAGTTCTAGTCGAATAGCTGAATTGAAGAACTTCACTTTTCTCCTGCACATCGACGATGTGAGTACGCTTTGAAGACGTGGACAGGGAAAAGACCGGTGTGCATGGTCAATTTCCGGTCCGCATCTTCATAGCGCATCCACATTGTCGACACGCAGAACCAACTGGCAAACTTCTTCTGCAGTTATGCATTTTCTGTTTGTATAGGCACGACCACTATCAGAGGTAAAACGCAGCAGGGGGGCACGCCCATCAGAACGCCACAACGGATATTTTGCGCGGCGCCCATCGGCCACACGAGTCGCCGCGTTACCTGCAGCAGTGGACGCGCCTGTGCCTGCCGTGCGCAACGTCGAGCCACTTTATGTAGCCACTAGACGTTGCTCCAAATACATCCTGAGGAATGCACCAGAAATAACAGAGCAGCACAGGCCATAATTTCCCCAAAGTGTAGGTATGTCATCAGCGACTCACAGTCGGCAATCTGTAACTATGCACGAGGAAGAATATCTCCCGACGCAACTAACATACTCCTCCGCAAGGCAAATCTCATATCATTGGAGGAGTTCGAAGGAAGATATATTATATGGTTCCCAGCCCACACCCCGTGTGCGTCCCCTATTCCCAACCTCAACGAGGAAGGTCACTGCGTAGCGCGCGGTCTCACTTACCGCACTCGTGATGGAGCTTCACATGAGGTACCGGGAGGAGAGGAGTGGTGGAAGAGGGACAGAATGTTTAGATTGTGCGACATTATCCAATTCTACCAAAAGTCGGGGTGCAGATTTCCACCACCTAGCTCCACATTAGACAGATCTCAGGAGGTTGACTGGAGGCTACTTGAAACTAGAACATTTTTCAACCTGAAGCACCGAAATCGCATCTACCCGAACTATACCCAGATGATTCGTGTAAGCTATGTAGCATGAGACACGCCACCATATAGCATATTTTATGGGAATGCACACAGATACCGGACGCCAATGCAGTCTCTCCAGAACAGCTTGGGGCGCGGTAGAGAGCCACGCTGATCAGCTCAGATCGGGCCGATCAAATACGGGCCATCCAGCGAGCACGGGAGGCGGCTGAGAGACAGGGTCTCTCCACCGCCCCTGGTGCGGCTTAGGGCCTACGCCTCAATCTGCTGGTTAAATAAAGTTTGCTCACGCAAACTCGAACACGCCAAAAAAACACCGCTGGAACCATTGAAAAAGCACTGCCGGAAGTGCCACACCGGAAGTCTACCGGAGTAAGACGTTCGGCGCGAGCTAGTTTGTTTACAAACACCGAAACCGTCTATATGTTTTTTGCAAAGCTTCTAGGAATTTCGTTTTAAAAACTGTTACTGCTGTGCATAATGTTTTTTTTTTACCATTACCACGGTTTTACCTTTTTTCGTGTTATGTTTTTACCTCTCGGCAGTTTATTGAGTGTATGTACATTGAACGAGCTCTTACTCTAACACACACGGTTTAATTAGGTGTCTTGATTGCTGCAATAATAATTACACCTACTTTTGCCCGTTTTGTGACTCACATTTGTCGAGTACCACCGTGATATTTTCTATCTATAATTTGTACCTATAATCAAGTTGTTACTATGTACTAACTTTTGCCCCTCCCCTCTTCAGTGTAAGTTTGTACCTTGAGGGTATTTAAATTAAATAAATACATAGAACAGAGAAGGGACACAGTTAAGCTATAAAATATTCTATGATGAACATCCACTGACTTGCCCAACTCTCGATTCTTTTTCAATGTTTACAGGCTATGATGAGGGGCCGTGCAAGGTGTAATGGGGGCTTTGATTTCACTATAAAGAAAGCTTGTACAAACATGTCCAATTGTACTACAAATGTTTTAAAAGCAACGAAATAAAAATTTACAATACACTTTGGTTTTTCTCTTATCTTTATTTTAAAATTTTTTATTGTCAGGCACGACAGTGAAAAAAAAAATGAACCAATGTGCTGTTTTTCGCATTAACATAGAATACTAGGCTAGGAGATTAATCAAAGTCCTATGGTGTAAGAGCGACCAGATGGATTGTGCACAGCTCCAACTTCAGGCTCTGACACAAGCCATTCATACCACACTTTGCGTGCAGTCACACAACGCCAGAAGTGCACCTCTACAGTAGAACCCTTTTGCAGACGGACAGGCTCCTGTTAGAAGAAAGACACCATCATTATAGACGCCATCAATAACCTGCATAAAAGTTTTCAAATATTTCCTGAGAAATCAAGCTGTGCACCTAAAAAGATGCACCTTACTGACTGTGGCCCTCTAGTACTGCTCGTTATTTTTATTCATATGACTGTTATGCTGAAGATTACTGCTTTTTCATAAATGGCTGCTCAGTAAAAGCCTGACCCTGCCAAGCCCGCCGAATGGGCCCTCTACTTTACGTTGAAATTTGACCTTATAGCGGAAGTATACTTGCTGTTTGGTTCTATTTAAATAGAAGAGGCCACACTCATTTTTCTTCCTCTTTGAGATCTCGCAGAGCATACTGGCAGCCAAGACCAGCTGCTGCTACTCCATGTTACTGGTCACTCTGTCACCATGAATGCGATTAGGAAAACATGTCTGCAAGAACTGCAAGTAATTAAACGTTCCAACAACTGCAGCAGTTCCAATTTGTTTACCCAAGGTGCCTTGCGTGCCAAGACCACGATACGATTACGAGGCACACCATAATGGGGGAACTCCGGAATAATTTTGACCTCCTGGGAGTCTTCAAAAGTCCCCTTAAATCTAAGCTGATGAGTTTTCTTTGCATTACGCCCGAATCAAATCACTAAAATGTGATTTTATTTCAAAATAAGCACTTCCTTGACACAAGAGTAACACTTCGAGATTTCTGGACTGCGATTTCAACAATCAAAGTCAACTTGATAGTTGGCTTTAGCGCCCCTTAAAGCGATAGAATATAATACCTAGACATCCCAGAGCAGACTACTGCAACAATGCCTAAACCAATGTTGTGACCAAATAACCGAAGTGCACCGGGGTGTCCCAATAAACTCAAGATAAGATTCTAAATAGCCTCACAAACACCAGTGAACTTTTTATGTCCATGTTTACCTACATATTTACAGTGCAGACTGCCTTTGCAAAGGACCGCTTACAACGCAGTATTTTTCAAATCCCGATTACCCTATCATAGAGACCCATGTATATGCATACCGCTCATTGGGCAGTCCCAAAAATAAAAGGCCTGTTATAATGAAGTTGCCAGAAAATCTTCTAGCAAATGCAGTAGTGAGTGTGCTTCTCAAGGGCGGTGCACAGCCGAGTGAGAGAGGAGGTATTTATGGAGGGGATGCGGAGTAAACAAAGGGTGCAGGGAGGAAAAAAAAAATGACACCATCTCCCATGTGAGGATGCGAAGCAGCACTGGTGTTTCCATGTGTTTCCATTTGTATGTTTCCGTGCTTGTTTCGTTTGTGTGTGGTGTTGCGAATATGTTGTGTAACGCTTATGTTACCCTCCCTTCCATTTGTGGTTATTCCCGTGTGTGTGCCGCAGAGCGAACACCCAGCACTGCTAAGAGAGTGCAACGGAGCAAGCAAGTGGAGCATTATATACAAGCGCACAGCTGTGGCGGAGAGATAAATGAGAGAAGGGAAACGAAGCGGAGGCAGCGCTCTGCCACCTCGTCAACCCTACCTCCTCCCAGTCACGTGAGGAGAGGGGGAGAGTTGGTGCATGCGCAGTGAGGGTGGCTGTGCCACACTGGATTGAACTCCGCAATAAGCTGCTTCGCATTAAGAAAAAAGAATGCGGCAGCGCTGCGAGGGCTTGCTGAGTGAGGCAGGAACCGGCACCGTCGTGGCTCCGGCCTCTTGCCAGCCACGCATGCTCCACGTGGCACGTGATCGCGTCCTCATCAGGTGCGAGTTTCCTGTCGGGAAGAACTTAGTCGTTATCCCATTTGCTACAGATAGCGTGTTTACTGCCCCGACCGTAAATTTAAAAGTTTCATGGTTTTATGATGCGCCCTTTCACCCTTGATGCCATTGTGGGGACTTGCATAAACTTAGAAGGCTTTTGTCTATCTTTTGGCTGCAAAAGCAAACATTGTATCACCGGGTTGCTCCTGGTGCAGTGCTTGAGCGCGATATTTTTGATGCCAGATCTTCATGTCTTGGTCAAATTCCCGCTACAGCATGCCAAACTGCAGGCTAAGCGTAATTAGCGTTGTTGATTTTTCGTAGCGGTTGCAGGCGATCAAGGTTGCTTTGTCGTACAGGAATCAAGGAAACTTTTTGTGGCTGTTACCGTTGATCGAAACGATGACGCGGTGGAACGTGTAACAATCGAATGGCGGTTCGCGATTCGATTGCAATGTCTTTAATTCGGGTGCCCGCCTTTGAAACTGAACGATTGGTACCGTTCAATGCCCGAGATTTCGGTTATCATCGAACATAGTTTCTGTGTAATGCGCATGATCGAGGCGGGCTGAAAGGTGGTCAGTGAATTTCCATGATGGTGCTTTCCTTAGTCAGTCCCCCTCCCCCCCTTTTCGTGTTCATTTTGTTGGCAACCCAGGTCTTCGGACATTAATTGCTTAACATTCCCTTACATAAACTGGATTAAGACAGTGTGTAGATTGTCAAAGCCCATTTTTAGACAGTGTCTAAATCTATTTTTGTAAGGGTTCGAAGATTTAAATGGTTTTGAGCACCACGCATCGCGAGCCTTGATTCTCAGACACACGAGGCTGCATGCTCAACATGTTTGACGCAACTGCGGCATTTCAAAAAGTCTGTTTTGCTTATAGCACACTACTGCTAATAGTACTGATATTCGCGACTTACGTAATAAGCGGTTTATGCTTAATAAAAATTTTGTGAATAATTTAATAATCCTTGAAATTCAGACATTTAATTCAGCATCACATAATAAAATGCAATGTTAAAAGAACTTTTGATTCATTACATCACTGCAATTAGTTCTTCTGTTGTAAAGTAGAGGTGCAATTGGTAAAGAAAAATAAAAAGTGAGTACAGAGAAGAATATTTCCTTTTTTGCCACAAATTTAAAAGTCATAAAAAGTGACCGCAAATGATCTAGCAGGTTAGATATTTTTCCGTCCAATATCTTCAAATGCGATGCAAAGCATGTAATGTGAAATGTTTTGTAATTAAAATTTTTTTTCCAGCCACACTAAATAGAATGCACTGCCTACAGGTTGCTATATTACCAAAGTCTAGAGCCTAAAATTCAAATAAGTCACAATTGTGTGATTGAAGTTTTAATGAGGAAACAGGTCCTACCTTGATGGGGAAAAATATGGGAAACCAGCTGAACATGCCAGGGGAATGAGAGTTTGGACAGATGCCTGAAGCAACAAAGGTGAGGAAAACAATCACTTTGCATGCAATATCAGTTTTGAAAACTGTACCACCTGTGGAGTTTAACAAAGGGCATAGTATTGTAAGGCACAGATACGAAAAACACTCTTCTCAACTAATCCACTGAATTATTCTTACACTACCATGTTTAAATTGCAAACACCAAATTGAAACGCCGGTCAGCCCTGATCAATACACACATTCTTTGAGAATACTACTGCATTTAATTCCCCAACCATAAATTCATTATCAGAATAGAAAATGGCAGTCAAGCTCCTAGTTTTTTTCAATTCGGCACCAAAAGCTTAGCACGCAAGTATCAGCACAATTCCATGAATTTTAAAAGCCTTTATTTTATATGTTACCTAAATTGGCTCAATAAAGTTTCCCCGATACCTGCCACGTTAATTTTCAGACTCCCTCAAAGTGCAATCACACGCACACAATTTCCGAGTGATAATAAAAAAAAACAGTTTTTCGTGTTGCGGAGGTGACCCATCGATGCCATGCCACCTGAGTCTGCCTGGTCAGAATACATCATTTGTCCACCAGAAGTTCATGATATGGCTTCCACCAATCACCCAGTGGCATGAATTCAGGAAAATTGTAAGGGGACACACTTTTGCAATGGCAGCAATTACTACTTTTAAATATTGCCTAATGGCAAAAGAATTAAACTCTACCCTTAAATTTCTCTATACTAACATCACTGTTAATACGTAATAAAAGGAAATAATGTTTTGAACAAATGTGACAAGTTTTAAGATTCAGCTTTGTCAGTAAGACATTGTTTGAAGGGCACTTCACCAGGCTGCAAATAAACAAGCTAGGGACATAAATCAGACAGTTGGGATTGATTGATATGTGGGGTTTAACGTCCAAAAACCACCATATGATTATCAGAGATGCCGTAGTGGAGGTATCTGAAAATTTTGACCACCTGGGATTCTTTAACATAGGATTCTTTAAGCCGCCGCAGCCCGGATTCGATCCCCCGACCTGCCGATCGGCAGCCGAGTACCTTAGCCACTAGACCACCACAGCGGGGCTCAAACAGTAGGGACTTCCCTCATGATTAAGAAACAATGGAAATCTTACAACAAAAAACATGCTCTTTTTTTTTTTGAAGAAATCTGCACGAGTGAGAGTCAGAAACACATGCACACACTTTGGACATTGCTGACCATGGCAAGAACTTTAGTCCATCAGCCAATGTAGAGTACACAATTCTGCTACTTGAAGTGTGCCACAAAACAATACAGGAAGAGAAGAAAGAAATCAAGTGAGGCTTGTCCCAAAATATGATGTGCGTCCTCAATTCTAGCACAATGGAAAGCACACGAAAGGTATGCCCCCTGCAGGTGCTAGCTGAGGCAAACGGGGAGTGTGTCTCTATTGAACATGCCTTTAACTTCCCAGCGGCATGATAAAGGGTCAGACCAAGCACTTCTGCACAGTTGTTTAAAAGCTCCCAATGCAGCAATCTGGGTTTTCTTGAGAAAAAAAATTATTCCATACTTTATAAATTTTAGAAGCAGACAAGCAGCACCTTTTCAGTAGCAGGCATCATGCAGTAAGCAAACTTAAAAACAAGCAACTGGCCAATTGTGTCTAATACAGTCGCCGACCGATAAATCGGACACCGATAATTCGGACATGCTCGGTAATTCGGACAGTCGCGCGGCACCGCCAATGGTCCAATAAAAGTAATATGTAAAGACGACCGATATTTCGGACAGCGGCCAGATCTACATTCGATAATTAGGACCCTGCCCGACTGTCGCGCACGCCGAATCGGCAGCCATTATCTCCTCCGGCACTCATACCATACAAAGTATGGCCTCAGAGATCAAAACGAAAGCTAATTGGTAATTTATGAGGCTTTATTTCGATCGCAACTATATGCCTCAGAGATTTCTGCTTAAAAATGCCGATCTTGGAGGCACGGCTCAACTGTCGGGGATTGTATCAACATCGCGATCATCCAACATTCCGGTTCCTGTATACCCTTCGCCACCCTCGCTGTGCGGCTATCGCCGCTATTCTGTCACATGTGTGTGCGGTACAGCGTTTTGCTGAATTCTGCGCGCGTTCTTATTTATTTTGAGACTTGCTTTATTTTATGTCCAGCTGTCTCACAAGATCTGAAGTTAAATGGCACCAACGGTGCCCTCACAGCCAGCGCCGAAGGCTGCGCCGACGAAACGCGGCAGATATACAACGCTAACCATGGCAAAGAAAGCAGCCATCATTCAGCAAGTGCTCAGTGGTCGTCCGCCAGTCGAAGTTGCTCGAGAGTTCAATATTTCGAAGCAAACCATATCGGACTACATGAAAAATAAGGACAAGATTTTAGGCGCGACGGAGACATCATCCGGAAGTGAACAAAAGAGGGTGCGCCAAGGTGTTCATCCGCAGTTGGAAGAAGCGTTGAGCATTTGGCTTAACGCTACCGTCGCTCAACGGGTTCCCGTTTCCGGCCACCTCTTGAAGCAAAAGGGCGAGACATTGGCACTTCGCCTTGGCATTGATGGATTTAAGTTCAGCGAAGGCTGGCTCCGAAACTTTAAAAAGCGGTACTACCTCGCTTTCAAAAAAATGTGCGGTGAGAGCGGTGCCGTGAATAGCACACTGGTAGCGAACTACCGCGGTGGAAAGTTGGTGGAGCTGCTTCGGCGCTACTCGGCTGACGGCACCTTCAACCTCAATGAAACCGGGCTTTTCTATAAGCTACTACCGGAGAAGACACTCGCACGTTCTGGAGAACCTTGCCACAGAGGTTCACTCAGCAAGGAACGAGTCACTGTCGTTGTCGGCTGCAACGCTTCTGGCACCGAAAAGCTCCCGCTGCTGGTAATCGGGAAATCGAAAAACCCTCGATGTTTTAAGGCGAAAAAAATCTGCCTGTCTGGTACGAAGCCAATACGAAGGCGTGGGTCACGCAGAAGCTGTTCGCAGAGTATGTCAGAAAATTGGACCGAAAGTTGGAATTGCAAAAGCGCAAGGTCCTTTTGTTCGTAGATAACTGTACTGCCCATGCGCCGATCAGCTGTCTGAAAGCCATCGAGCTAGAATACCCGCCGCCGAATATGACCAGTATTCTGCAACCTATGGACCAAGGTATCATCAAGAATTTGAAGGTGCTGTATCGTTGACGCATGCTGCAGCACGTGTTGCTCTGTTTAGAGAGCCAGATAAAATACAACGTTGATTTGATGTCAGCCGTGAGCATGCTTGCTGATGCCTGGAAGGCAGTGTCGGCAGGCACGATCAGCAACTGTTTCCGGCACGCAGGATTTAAGTTGCGTAGTGAGCCTGACACCGCCGACACTGCAGCCGAAGAACCCGACAATGCAACTGAAGAGCCGGACCTGCCGCACAGCGCATCGAGCTCAGGTGCGGACGTTATCGACGACCTGCAAGGCTGCAATGTGCCGATTCCCAACACTGTTACGTTTGAAGACTTTGCAAACGTCGACAGTGCAGTGTCGTCGTGTGCCGAATTGAATGACGACGACATAATTGAGCAGGTTCTGCAACCGTCAAACAGCGGTACTGACTCTGACGATGATGATGCGCCGTGTGCTCCAGAGCCGTCGCATGCGGACATGTCTCGAGCCCTCGCTGTTCTTTCGTCGTCGTACAGCGATCGTATCACACTGGCGGAGATACAGGCGGACTTGCTTGCACGTATGCGGAAGTGCTTGCAGCAACGCATTAACGACTTTTTTCGGCCACCGGTAGACTGAAGTGTCAATAAATGAATCTTTTTTTCCGACGCATTCGTTTTTTTCGTACTTTTGATAATTCAGACTTATTCGCATTCCCCGTGGAGTCCGAATCATCGGTCGTCGACTGTACACAAACCCATCGCAAGTATCCAGAAGTGACACCTTTCCAAAAGAACAAGCAATGCATACGAATAGTAACGGAATGTTATCCATCTAATGAGAATGAACTTGTATAGTAAAATATGAGTTTCTTTTTTTTTTAAGAAAGTTGTAAGCAAAATAATTTACTGCAGGTCACAGGAAGTCCACTATAAGGAATTATAATTAGTTTCAAACCGCTAGAAACCAAAGCGCGCTGATTCACTACTTCTATCTGGGCAACTTGAGGCATAAGATACAGTAAAAACTCGTTAAATTAAACTTGAAGGGGACTATAAGATTGTTCAAATTAGGTGACGCTCAAAATAGCAGGTGGGCACTAGAATGAATGGACAACGTGCCCCACAGGATGGCCAGAACTCAAAGAAGCCACCTTTGGACTCAGTATCACGAATTGGGTGCTCCTACACATTTGTAGCGGGCAATTTCGTAAATAAACTTTATGGAACTCCAACAGGGAACATAATTAATTGATCAGTAAGTGATACACCAGAAACAATCACCGACATGCTTTTATGTGAGCAGTGAGCCTAGTGTAGAAACACTATATGATGCTATTAATACTGTAAAACATGTTATTGCACATGACAGAATTAACACTAAATGCAATCAGTAATTCGCATTTGCTTGCGTTTCTTCAGTCGCGAATCCACGAGCACTATTTAGAGAGGCCAATCACCGTAACCAAAAAGAAGTATAAATATGAGCAGAGGCTTCTTCTCTCTCTATCCTTTGTAGCATTCTCAAAAGCTCCTGTGCAGCATCTCAGTTCTCATCTGCTGACAAATGCTGTAGTTTTGTTGTTTTGCCTCTGTACTGAATTTGGTTTGGTCTGTTTTTTTCAACACATTCTGGTCGACTTCTGCAAGGAGTAATAAAAACTAGGGGCACCCTGTTCGAATTAGCCATTGGGAATACCAGTGTATTCAAATTATCAGGAGCTTTTTCCTATTAAGGTACACAGGGCTGTGCAGAGACCAAGGTGTCAGTTTGAATTAAGTATAAATTTTAATTGACCGAGTTTGAATTGACGAAATTTTACTGTATAGATGTTTTGCTTCGTCACTTGGTGTTGTTCCCCTACAAGCAATTCCACAGTATTAGGTGGCAAAAACAGAAAAGATGGAGAAATAGCTTACTCAGGGTGACATTTTTGTACAGCACTGTATCAAAATATCCTGCAAAACCATGCAAGATACTGGTGTTATCAATCTTGAAGCGCAAGGACTTGTACCGGCTGTTGTCAATCGGTTTGTCTGGAAAATAACCAAAAAAAATAAAGAATAAGCAAGTGAGGCCTACTCTCGTCTTCAATAAAACCAAGTGTGTTTGTTTTTGCATGAGCAACCACTAAAGCTTATCACATTTAGCTAGATGCACAGTATAAAAACTACGTAATCTGGTGAACACAAGTATATCCCCTTCAGGCACAAATTATGATACACTGTTCAGTATTGCATCAAATCCAAGTAACATTATTCCAAGGCATCCAATAGCACATTTTAAGAAAGAAAATTAAGTAATGCGCTGTTTTGTGTGGCTTTCTGTAATTAATTGCAATTAGCATGAAGTCAAACATTTCATTATTATGCTGTCAGTTATGCTGTCAGCTATAAAGAGTGAAATAATAGGGTTCAAATGTGTGTAGAGTTATTTTTCGGTGGCATTCACATTGAGAAAAAAACAAAGCAATACTTTTCACTGTGGTTACACAATGCAGCACGTCAAACGACCTGTTGAACACCGTAGTGCTCTGACCAAAGTCATCGGCTACAGCCATACGCAGCACACTGAGGTTAAGTCGGGGCATAATGACTGCATGAAGCATTCGATACATTTAATGAGCAATTTATCTTGATGTCTCTTAGCAACCAGTTTGCTGAATGAAGAATTGAGTGCTAGTATAGAACAAATCAAAAGTAAGTAGTAACAAGTCCATGAGGAATATAAAATTTATCGTATCAGAGAGCACAGATATAGAGCACTGTGTTACAAATCACACTTAAGTCCCCGATGTTCAAAAAGTATAGCAAAATAGCACATATTTGGTGTTGAAAGTTAAGCTATATGATTTTCTAAAAAAAAAAATAAACCCTGGAAAGAACATAAAAACCACATTTACAGATGACTAATATATCCAGGGGGACACAAAGCGAGGCAATAATTGTTGCTATCAGCCTCCAAATTAACTAACATTTAATAACTAGCTCTTTAGTGACTCTAGCAAACATATTTATTTATTTATTTACAATACTGCCAGTCTCTTACGAGACCAAAGCAGGAGGGCATGAGTATCAAAATACAATGAATGCTAAGTACTTTCTTACAGGCGGCATACAGAACTGTAGTTATTTTAAAATTAGTAATAATAATCCTAGTTACATAGAAACATTAGACATAGGTATTTATGCACTCCAAATATTCACACTTCGCAAGCAGCAAACTAAATCTCTGCTGCATAAAAAAAATCAATACAGTTTTATACAGAGAAGGCATTGTGTAAACTTATACATCCAAATAAATACTACTGGAAAACAATATTGGAGGTCATGGTTGAAGAAAGCCGTTGTCTCAAAGTATACTCTCAATTTTTGAAGTGAATTCTGCCAGTGATGTTACGTTAGTAATGGAGGGATCTAACCTATTCCATTCGCTGATTGACAGGGGGAAAAAGGATTGCTTGAAACAGTCGTTGTTGGAAGAGTATTCTTTGATAGTGTATGCATGTTTATGTCGTAGTGTTCGTGATTCTGCCAAAGATATGTACCTGGATGCATCGATCCGGCTGTGGTTATGCAGAATGTGGTGTAAAAATTTGAGACGCGCGATTTTTGCTCTTGTTGCAAGAGTGGGTAGACCGGAGGTTTCTAAAAGGTGTGTGGGTGAGTCGGTGCGTTTGTACTTATTATGTATAAACCTAATGGCCTTCCTTTGAACCCGTTCAACTTTTGCTATATTAGTAACACCTTGCGGGAACCACACAGTGTTAGCGTACTCCAAGATTGGTCGCACGAATGTGGTGTAAGTTAGGAGCCTAGTATCTGTCGGCGCGAAGGGTAAACGCCTTCGTAGAAAAAACAGTTTACGCAAAGCCGATGCTGTAACATTGTTAATGTGCGCATCCCATCTCAATTCGGAAGTCAAGGTGACGCCAAGATACTTCTGCTGCGTAACTCTTTGTAAAGGTACGCCGTTAATTGTATAGGTAAAGTCGGAGGGTTCTTTTTTCCTAGTTACCGTCATGCAAACTGTTTTTGTTAGGTTAATTAACATTTGCCACTGCTCACACCAGTGAGCAATCTTACTCAATGAATTATTTAAAGATAAATGATCATCCGAACTGTTAATTGCTCTATAAATAATGCAGTCGTCTGCGAAAAGTTTAATTTTGCAGTCTATGTTATCAGTGATGTCATTTATGTAAATTAGAAATAATAATGGCCCTAGGACGGAGCCTTGGGGAACACCTGACTTAACTGGGGCTGTCCCCGACGATACTCCTTCAAAAACCACGAACTGTGACCGGTTTATAAGAAAGTCTCTTACCCAGTTCGTAATTTCCCCATCCCCAATAATGTTCTGCAATTTCGAAATCAGTTTAGTATGACACACTCGATCGAACGCTTTTGCTAAATCAAGTAGAATTACGTCAGTTTGGCCACGGTTGTTTATACTGAGTGCAAGGTCGTGGACAACCTCGGTAAGCTGCGTGATTGTTGATAAACCTTTCCGGAAGCCATGTTGATGGGGGGACAGGAGATTGTTGTTTTCTAGAAAAATAGTTAAATGCTTAGCGATTATATGCTCTAGTATCTTACATGACGTACTGGTGAGGGATATAGGTCTAAAATTGGAAGGAACAGCAGTATCTCCGGTTTTGTGTATGGGTATCACCTTTGCTACTTTCCATTCTGATGGCAGTTTTGCTGTTTCTATTGATTTGCGATAAATTATGCCGAGGTATTTACTACACGGTTCTGCGTATCGAAAAAGAAATTCATTTGCAATATCATCGGGGCCACTGGCTTTCTTCGTGTCTAGATTCAAAAGTAGGTTAAGAATCCCGGGGTCGCTTATAACTAATGGTTCAATGGGAATTCGAGCTGTGGGCAAGGCCGCAGGAGTGGTGCCATTGTCATCAGTAAAGACAGATTGAAAATAATCATTGAAAATATTGGCCTGGTTTGTTTTATCGCTATCGCTTAAACACGTCTTTGTTTCAGCGGCAGAGCGAAAATGTTTCCAGAATCGTTGAGGGTTGTTTTTTATGTAACACGGAATCGTTGTAGTAAAATATTGCCTTTTGGCGAAGCTAGCTTTTTGTTTGAAGTCTGTAATAGCACGTGCTAGGTTAGATACGGTTACTGGATTCTTGCCTTTCTTTTTGATTGCTTGGCGTAGCCTCTTAACTTTTCGCTTTGCGTGTAAAACTTCGCGGGTTATCCAAGGATTATGTTTTTTTTGCCTTTTTGTTTTCAGTGGGACAAAGTGGGTAACGCAGAACACAACGATAGTCTTGAAACACGACCATAGATGATTTACATCAGTCGTTGGATGTATAGCAAGGTTTGAAAAGTTTTCAAATTCGTGAGCTAAGTAGGTTACAATGCTGGCATCATCACCTTTAGGAAAATTTCGTACAGTAGTTACTGATGAACGTGGTGTTATGTCATATCCAAGTTGGAGCTGACAGATTGGTATGCGGTGATCTGATATCCCCGGAATCACATTGACGACTGATTTATTTAACGGGAACTGGCCACTAATCAATATAAGGTCGAGTACGCTTTTTGTTTGATCTTTTATACGTGTTGGCGCAAGCACGACTTGTTGTAGATTGAAATTTAAAATTAAAATATTAGTATTAAAAAGTTGGAGACAGTCACGTTTGTACAGTTCCATTTGAAAGAATTCTTCTAGCATGTCTGCACTGCAAGATATCCAGCTGCAAAGCTTAATTGCAGTTGTCATGATTGCGCATGCAGGGCGGTGAGGATTAGCTTGATGTTCCTCCCCAATGCGACGAACAATCATTGCTTGTAAGGGGAAGCCAGCTGTTAGTAAAAGGGTAGCCATAATCACTATTGCCTGTGCCTATCTTTAATCTTTAATCTGACCCATTGTCAAATTAAAGAAGGCACACAACTGTCATGGCACATCAGGGAGGGAGCTTTGCACCAGTGCTCACTGCTTTGCATGCGTGATCATGCAAACCGCAAAAAAAACTTTTAAACATGCTAGTACGATTCTTCTAAGTAGAACTGTGTAATGCGGCTGCCTTAAACTTTTCAACACAAACATGCCCCCTTGACGAATTCACTGAAAAGTTAATTACTAAATCATAATTAATTGGGTAGCTGGATGCAATATTTATTGTCTTACTTCGTATTCCCCTGGATATATCAGTCAACTGCAAATGTGGTTTTCATATTACTTCCACAGCTGAATTTTTTTAAAATCATAAAGCTTAACTTTGAACACCTTATACTAGTGCCTCAACGTTTTAAAGCATGCGGTATAGTTACACCTAAAAAAAAAGAGACAAGACCGACCTTTGTTTGGATGGACAAAAGTGAACAAGGGCTGATGTTCTGATAGCTGAGTCACATTATGAAGACGCACCACGTAAGGCACTTCATAAGGAGTCTGTGAACAAAATCCATTGAAAAGAAATGGCACTTATTCGATAAAGTTGCGCAAATCCACACAGAGAACATGTTTGTTTATATTATATGTTGTCACGAATTCATACTCTAAAAGAAAATATGAAGCATCAAATACAGATGCATTCACAATGTCAACCTTAGTGCCACACTACTAAGCAAAGGCTCTGAATAGCACAAGAAAGAAGAAAAGGCAAAAAAACATCACTAACTTCCAACCAAAATTATTTGCAGAAACAGCGACTAACAGATCATTTGACTGGTGCTGCCCAGCAAGTTCCGTGCAACCCGACTTACGATAAGCAAGAAATATAGCAGATATTACGTACTTACACAAAGCACCTCATCATTTCAAAAAGCTAGGCTAACATTCTAAAGCCAAAGTATTTATGTTTTTTTCCTGCCTCTTACAAGTTTATTAAGCTGCGTCATTTGAATCCCTTTGGTCAAAGAAGGTTTGCGCAATAAATGACATAGAGCTTATTTTTTCAGGTGCATGTACAATATTGTGTATACAGGTCAGGCAATATACAGGTCACAGCGACGTAGCCAGAAATATTTTGGGGGGTTTTATATGCTGCCCATGAAAAAATAAAACCAAAGAGAGCGTGTAACAAAATAATATCTAGTAACTTTCCGACTAAAAATGCAAATGAGTCAGCGCGTTTCTAAATTGCTGAAACACGAAAAGAAGAGCCACTGCTTGCAATGCAGCACGAAAATGTCATGCAAGGAAAAAGAGCATTATTAAAATATGATCTAGCCTATACAAGAAACTTTTGAGAAAGCAGGAAAAAAAGTCTATGCATGTGTTCAGGCTGTGGCGAAAGGATGAAGAAGCACATCCAGACAAGGACCTCTGGGTGCGCCATTTTTTCGCCGCAGCGCCGTCTAGCGTGTGCGATGTTTTGCAGCTGTGCTGGTGCGTGGGGCGTCGGTGTACGCGCTCTGTATGCAGTGTATCACTGTTCTTGACGGTACACGGTCAAAACACAACAACGCTTCGCGAATGTAAGTAATCGCTAAGCTGTAAGTTTCGAAATGGCTGGAACAGAAAGCCGCAACAACCCAAGAGAAGCTACAGCAGCAGTGCCAATGACAGACAGGAGGCGAGTAAAATTTCAATGCATTCCTTAAGCAGCACATGTAAATGGATAATTGGTTAGTATGTTTCATCACAGCTGCCCTTGCGGTGTTCTGGGAGTATGCACTAATGTTTCATTTTCGGACAACTCTCGATGTAATGGGCCAAACATAAATATGGACGAGCGAATACATACGCCATTGTCAAACTGCACTTTAGGTGCGCGCATTATAGTGTTTGAAATGGCTCAAGTTTCTTCGCCGTGATTGTTTAAGTTTCACATAACTCTACAATCGCTAGCAGATCATCTAGTTCGGCTCAGAACGTCGCAATACAAAGATTATGAAATGAGGGAAGCAAGAACAAGGATGCCTGTGTTGATTCATGTCGCCGTCGTAGTCAAAAGATTGTCTCTGGTCATTGTGCAGGATAACAAATGAATGTACGACAGATGAGCTTTCGTGTAGAAGCAACACAAAGAGAAAATGAAAATAAACGTCTTGCCCATCTGGAAGCACAGCATGAAGTAAGTTCGCTTTGGTGCGAGCAGCCGCTACTGGAAATACGCCAAAAGTGTGCCCGTTTTTGGTGACATAGATATCATTTTTTTTTTAAAGAGGCATCACGGTAAGTGCGCATGTTCAGGTAATGACCTGGCTTCAACGATTTCGGGTCAATTATTTTTAACACTCAGGCTGCCACAGAAATAAATAAATAAAATTAAGAAGTGCTTTTGTCATAAAAAAGCGCCAGTTATCGTCACAAAATTGATTAAGTCGAGAAATGCGCGCCACCGAAAAAAAGCTAAAGACACGTTCCTGAGCCAAAAAGCACTTATGTCATGTGGGCCTTTCTTCCATGCCATTTCGAAAGTGCTCATTCAATAATCTTAAAATTGCATGCGTTTAGATTTCGGTAATCGCAGGAATCGTAACTTGTGTGCTGTTGCATAGCAACTCGGGATGTTGAAGCTACAACAGAAGAATTTTGGGCAGAACATTTTCTGGATTAACCATCAGCTCTGACATCGCTTCTCTTTGCTGCAGAATAAATTCACCGGCAATCCACCAGAATCAAAAACTGGTATCACGAAGGAACGGCCACAGGGACAGACACCACATAGAATAATTGTCGGAGGAAGAGGCCTGTGACCCAAGGAAAGTCATTTCGAAGGAAAGTGCACCTCGCATGTCTCGCCTGCCAGCCTTTTGTGCTTTAATCGCAGCCAAACACATCGCTGTGGTAGCCTGTTGACGTGTTCTCGTACAATATTTCGATTTTCGGCAGCCCAACTGCTTTAGCGCACCAAAAAAAAGAGAAAAAAATAAAGAAAACACATTGACCTCTCACGGGCCGCGCATGCAGAACGTGCCAGTCCCCACACACCAGTGACGGTGGCTTAATGGTCGTTGGAGAGAGAGAGTGACGAAAATACACTGGTTTGATGCTATGCTCCTCCTCTCCATGAAAACGGTCTACATAGAAGGAGTAGAACCAACTTAAACGAGCCTGTGCCTGGCCGTAATCCCTAAAGGCACGCCGCAAGGAGCGGTGATATCTCCGCTTCTCTTTAACATCGCTATATGCAAGTTGTCCACACTGCTAACGCGAAGGGCATCAGCCATACGCTTTACGCTGATGATATTACCATCTGGTTTCCTGGAGGTAGCGAAGGGGAGGTCGAGACTGCACTCCAGGAAGCCATCGATCAGACAGAGCTCTTCCTTGCTGGCACAGGGCTGAGGTGCTCCTCGAGCAAATCGGAGCTGCTTTTATACAGGCCCATTAGAAAAGGAGCCAGGCCAAAAAACTGGAAGCCTTTATCAGAGGTAGACATTGTCCTTCACACCGGAAGTGGCGCCCCCATTCCGAGAGTAGACGCTATTAGAGTGCTGGGCATGATTATAGAGTCGCACGGGTACAACGGACAAACCATCGCCAAGATTTCAACCAAGACCGAGAACATGATCAGGTTGATTAATAGGGTTTCGAACAGAAGGGGGGGGACTCAGAGAGGACAATCTACTGAGGCTCTTTCATGCATTCCTCATAAGTCACATAACGTACGTTGCTGCAATGCACTCTTGGTATGGATTCGAAAAGAAGAAGTTGGAAACTCTGATCAAAAAAAGCGTAAAGAGGGTGTTGGGCATTCCCGTGCGAACAAGCACTGTAGGCTTATACAGCTAGGAGTTCATAACACTCTAGATGAGATCACTGAAGCCCAAAAGACTGCACAGCTAATGCGCCTGTCGTCTACGCCGGCTGGTAGGAAGATTCTGTCCATCCTAGGCCTCAGTCCGGCGCTCGTAGAGGATCACCATTTTCAACTACTGAATGAACAGTGCACTGCCATCCAGGTCTCTCCGTTCCCGCGAAACGTCCATCCTCAGCAAAACGTAGGAAGGCGCTGAGCTAGGGCCATCACACTTCTGAAGAACATTAGGAACGATCCTCATTCAGTGTGTTTTGTCGATGCCGCTCAGTACGGTCGCTCAGATAGGTTGTCTGTTATTTCCGTCAATCATATGGGTTCTATTATCAATGCTGCGTCAGTTAGGGGCTCAACTCCCTCAAGAGCCGAACAGTTGGCTGTAGCCCTTGCCCTTTTGGATGACAGTAGATCGCAAATCTTCACTGACTCAAGGTCAGCAGTCAAGGCTTTCGCCTCTGGTTCTGTCTGTACTGAAGTATTTGAACTACTTGAAAATAGGACACTTTCTCCACATACTTATACCTGGTTTCCCGCACATCTCAAACCCCTACTGAACTCTCAAGTAAACCTGAATGACACTGCTCACTCCCGGGCGCGCACACTAACCCTCCGCCCTGGGGAGGACGTAGGTCCGCAGGTTGGCAGTGAGATGTTCAGGGACGCTTTACTTACATTCAGTGAGGTGGCTAAACACTACCAGTTGAGTAGGCGTTCATTTGCTCCTCCACACAACAAGTTGTCAAGACCTCAGGCCATCACGTTTAGAATGCTCCAGACCAGGGCCTATCCAAGCCTATTTTTCCTCAGCATAGTCTCCTCAGAGGCTTTTGACTCTACTTGTCCTGATTGTGGTGAGGTTAGTGACTTAGCACATATGCTCTGGCAGTGCCCCTCGCTACGGGGCCCAAGTCGGCTCACAGAAGAAGACTGGGACTCTGCCTTACAAAGTTCAGAGTTGCTACCACAACTACGGGCTGTCCAGAGAGCCCACGATGCGGCGGTGAGGCTAGGCCTTTCCGTTCTTACGTGGGAGCGGCCCGCGACATTTCTCTAAAGGAGCAGCGTTTCTCAGGACCCAATAAAGTTCCTTGTCTGTCTGTCTGCGGCTGTTGCTTGTAATCCATGACCTTTTTGTTTTCTTCATTTTTTTTGTAACACAGGCGACACATTCGGCCATAACTGGTGGCAAGTTGATGGAAAGATGGAGAACAGTTCCTGGAATGACTATTTAATTTTCATTTTTACATTTCAATGTATCAATGCAGTGTCTAATTAGCGTGGGCAGAAAAAAATAATTCCACAAGGCTGAGGAGAGGGAAGTATAGATATAGTTAGAAAAATTTCGGGAGGCGCGATCTAACACTATAATACCCTTTTTGGCTATGTCCGCAATAGGTCAAGCAGTTTGCTATCCAAATGGCTGCCTCCATGAGCATTGGAAATAATGTGGAAAATGCACATTGCGGTTGGCTCATGCGCCATTGCCTAAGCTACAGTTGAAGGCCTTCTTTTTATGCTTGTACAGTATGGTCCACTGTTAAATGGAACACTCAAATGAACACCATTCATATTGTTACCTATGTACTATAAGAAAACAATCTTGATGCCCATCACTAATCTGTCCAGAGTAACCAGAACTGTCAATCTCCAGTAGTTTCATACAAATCTAACCCACTGTTTTTCTGTAAGTAAGGGAGCGAGATCCAAACATACTGAGCACGCAGGTGTTCCCTTAGAAGTGGGCCCGTCTGTAGAGTTTCTAACCCTTGTAAATAGCCGACTCTAAAAATAATTGAAGCGATTTTCAATATCTATTTAATTGTGTTAGTAAGTTGCAAGTGTTTCTGGCTGATAATGAGATTGAGTTCCCTAAAGAGGTGATGTGCAGTGTTAATGTCATGTGATGTGACTGAAAGATATATTAGTCACCGCTTCCACAAACCAAGTTTGTCTGTGCTACAGTAGGAAGTATTCGTTTACTTGTTTTCTTCTCGCTTTCTTGTGCCATTCAAAAGCTCTACTTACAATGGCATAGTACCGACAAGCTCAAACCGCCATGACTGGTGCTTCCTAAAACACTAAGTGAAGAATTTGAAGGGCCCTGAAGGAATGCAGTATATGGCCTACGCCTAATGGTGTCCCACACTGCATTGCAAGAAAACAAGCATAGCACATAGGCTGCTTATTAATGACCATGTTTGCAAGGCACGAAATTGCTGCGGGATTCAAAAGAAGAAATAAGACTGTGAGCCCTTACTTATAAGAGAGCTGTGCTTCTCGGGAAAGAGTCATGCATCATATATGTACAAAATACAGCTGTTTTCACTAGAAAACATGCAGAATGCTCACCAGAGGATGCTTGTCCTTTTCTCTTAATGCTGCAACTTCTGTGATAAGCTTGTAAGACTGAAGAGGTGCTAGGTAAGACGTATACTGGCAAGGTATACTGATTCCATCATCTGATAAGAAGAATTGAAGTGCAGAACAATATTTAAAATAAGTAGATGTGATATGCAGCAAAAGTTTGCAATTCTGAACAGGGAAGTGTTAATTTAGCTGGACTATGAGAATGACAGCTTATGGTATAAAAATTTGCAATGATCTCATTCTTTTGAACAACATCAGGAAAAGTGGAAAATCTTGGTAGATGAAAATGTCATTGTGCAGTGTGAGCCTTTGGCATGAGCTTGAAAAAGTCACAGTTTCGCCGCAAGGGCGAAGCCATGAATGCAATAGCATCAAATTGGAATGTCACACAAAAGACAAGCACATCGAAAGATTCAGCGCACTGCTCATGCACAAAGAATGCACACGGGATGAGCGCGAGCGAACAATGTTCACAGCTCGACATTTAACGAGCTGCTCAAACACAAAGGACATATAAAGTGTACGCACAGGTATACAGAGGACTTTTAGAAGTGGCTGATGTTGTTTCATGAGCATGAACAAATGCACTGGTGGATTGAGGCTGTCCAATGCAGAAGATAAGCAAGCATGCTTTCATTATGGCAGTGTTAGAACAATTATTGTTCTTTAATTGTTCATTTATGACGCAACGTCTTCAGCAAACGCTACTATTTTTACACTTGGTCGCCTCACCTGCATTGTGAACACGACATTATTGTTGACCAATCAGACGCGATGCCTCTCTTGAAAAGAGAATGGTGTGAAGTGCAAATCCAGAGAATGTGGAGCAGGTGACGGCTCCTTAACAAAAGTGCCGTGTACAATAATCAAACGTGTGCTGCACAGCATCGGCTGCATCCTACCTATTGATGACACTGGAATGCGATGATCGGTACAGAATGTTCACTGTGCGCTCGCCTCAACTATATGCATGTTCGTTGTACAGCTGTACAACATGGCACGTGCCAGCATTGAAGGCTTTTGACAGGAAATTTAACCTTTTTTTTTAATTTCTCGTAACGTGACTTCACGCTAACAGGAAACACCTAACTGTAAGCTCTGATGTCTCTTACTAATGATCACGCAAGCTGTTATTAGTGAGGCCATAGGCATGTTCGCATGGGGAGGGGAGAAGGCAGGGGGCAGACGCCTCCCCTTTCCATTCACCCAGGAGAGAGGGGCGCAAAGGCAGGGGGGGGGGGGCAGTCTGCGGTAAACATTTCTCTCTCCGTCCTAATGGGAACTTTGTGCACGCCAATGAGTGAAGCCAATTAAGAAATTTTCGCATTTTATTTTCTTTATTCTTGTCGGTGGTGTAACAGCTGGCCCCGCTGCACGAGATATTCCTAACACTACTGCATATTATCACGTAACTGATTGATATGTGTAGTGCTACGTCCCAAAACCGCCACATAATTATGTGAGACGACATAGTGGAGGGCTCCGGAAATTTCGACCACTTCAAGTTTTTTAATGTGCACCCAAGTCTGAGCGCACGGGCCTATAGCATTTTGGCTTCCATCAAAAATGCAGCCACTGCAGCCGGGATAAGATCCCACGACCTGCAGGTCAGCTGCTGAGTACCTTAGCCACTAGACCATCGCATAACTAATCATGTGATTGCACCCACTAAAAGCACACAAGGTTACGTACTTACTAATCACGTGACATGTTCTGACAAGAATCAAGTACTTAGTGTTCCTACCCACGTGCCATGTTCCTGCCACGTAAAACCTAACGCCCTTTTGCAACACTTAGAAATACGATGCAAAATCTGGCAAAAACATAGCCGAGCTACTTTGACAAGGTATAGGTGACCACCAACACCACGGTGGCTCTATCTTGTGCCAGTAGTGCGAGCCGCCCCTCATATTTTTGCTCAAATTCATCCTGCTGGTTTCAAAGTTTTACCCACACTCATCCTTTGCTTAGCCGCACCTCGGAAAACCATGCACCGGTGCGACAGTGCTCCCTCAATATCTACTATATAAACACATAGTGTGCCAACAAAGCTGGTGTGTAGAGAAAAAAACATCTGTTCAAGTGTCAAAGCATGCAGGCATCAATGATTGGGACGCTATTAAAAAGCGTCATATTTACGATGAGCTCCACTTTGTAGGGAAGCTTAACGTTCAGTTTTAGAAAACACTTGGCTTGTATGGTGACAATATCGTCCCATACAGCAGTGACATCGGACATATGTCCACTGCTATAAAGTGCGGCTCTTTTGTGCACGCTATCACCGCAAATTTAATTATTTGGGATGCGCAAAAACGGCAAATCACACGCGCATTTCCGCTATGCTTGCACTGAAAGGAGGCGTCTGCTATGCGGCTCTCGGTGGTGCCCCTATAAGAGCAGTGCATCACGTATAAACACCAGCTGTCATGATAAAATGTAAGAAGACTCCCTCTTACGAGAGATAACGATTCGATACTGTCATATTCTTGTACCATACCACAATGGTTTTTTCAACTGTACAAGAATGCACAATTCTTGGGATTTACTCACAAAATACAGTACGTAATAAATAGGGAGACCTCACCTTTCAAGAAACGCTGTGCACCATCCAAACATTCTGGAGAAAGCTCGTTGTCTCCAAATGAGCCCAGCAGTTCCGAGACAAGAATATCTGCTTTCTCAGGAGCCTCAAAATCACGCATATCACATGACACTACAGTCACTTGGTCCTTCCACGACTCGGCCTTCAGCGAAAGCAACCTTGACGCACATGAGACAGAAGGTTTTTTTTTTTTTTTTTTTTTTCACTGTGCAAAAACTTTTTTTTAGACTGTACTTACAACCTAATACGCCCTTGCCTTTTTTTCTTTGTTTTGTTTTTTTAATCAATAGCTAGCCTTACCCCTATTGGCACTTGTAGCTTATGCTTAAGAATGCATGCTTAAGAAAGAACATACAGAGCAAAATGGTGTACCAAGGTAGGTCACCATCTTTAAAACACGTTTTGTGAGAGGAAAAAAACACAGATTTTTTTTTAACAGTGGAATCTCATTGATACAATTTTTATGGGCAAAAGAAAATAATGCATATAATGCAAAAATTGCATTAACCAAAGAGGTTTAAAACATAAAGAAGATATGCATAATCCATAAGCAACTAATTTTGTAGAGTAACATTGAAAAAGGAGGGTAGTTTGCGCTACACTTTCTTTTTCAAGGTCAACAAATAAGTTCTTTTGGTGGCCCAGTACATTGCCTGGCGCATCATCTTAATTAATGGACGCAGCAGCCGTGCTAGCAGCGATATTTGCACACCAAAACACGCACTGCTACAGCCTCAGTGGCTCCTGCAATGTAGGAATTGCGGCTCATTGAAACACAGTTTGATTTAAGGTTTACCAAAGAATAAACATGGTCTCCAAAAGAACAAAAGCGGCAATGGAGGCCCTATATGTGTAGAAATTCAGAAAATGGTTTCTTGCCGTTGTGTTGGATTTCCAATCGCACAGTTCCTGCTCAACTGTCCCCCCCTCTCCCTTTTTATCTATCAAAATAAATGACACCACTACAACAAAGCTGCTTCTTGTGTACCTACACAAGAAACAATATTTTATTTCTTTACAAAAAACAAATGCAAACATTGCTTCATGGCGCTCGCTTTCACACGGGCTTAATCTACTGGCATATTTACGTAATAATGGAACTTGCAGAAGAGCACAGCAATAATTATACATTATTTTCCTACACTGCTGCATCAAGTATACCAAGACTTGTCATATCTTTCATTGAAAGCTATATATGACTATATAACCTTTTTTCTACAACACTATTTCCATAATAACATCGCAAGCCTTGGACGTTCATGCGAAAAGCTGCATGCTGAATGCATTTATGAAACCGACACCAAGATCGCTCGCAAATGAACTAGAGGCATAGTAACACACGTGCAGAAGCTCCGTCCATGTAGCTTTGGCTGTGCTGCCACAGAAAGTTGTCGCCAGATATAGAGTATAGATGTGGCGATGATGGTGGTTAAGTGCACAAGTTAATGTCCTTGAAGGAACACAAAAGTCAAATACTAACAATTTACGTCAGAGTGCAAGCTCAATGTATGACAACACCTAAAACGACAATATTATCAACAACAGTGCCCTACTTACCGAGAAATTAAGGTAAATGCACAAGAACACAAGCGTTGCAGTAGGACATTTTCAAAATGATCCCGATGACAACAGACGGACCACCTATAATTAATCACTAGTAATCCATCTAACTGCACTAAATAAAAAGACTTTTCCGTGCATCAAGAGACACAATAAAATGCTGCTTGTTCGTTTCTGTTTCATTTATGAAAAAAACAGAACCGCCGGACGTTACTATGGGGAATTGCACTAGTGGTTCAAAAATTCAATTTTTGCGTGGTTACACTGGACAGGTGGTGCCACCTAGCGGGGCATAGTTGAAACAAAAGCATCTGCAATCTCGGAGCCAATGGAGAGAAACTGATCAATTGTTGCTGCTGCGGCTCTCCCTGCTTTCGGTCTGCTGCTACTAGCGCATTAAAGCCGGGCAACGTTGTGCACGGCAACAGTGACGTGAGTCGGTCCAGTCGGTCCGCTCCTTGTGGCGGGTAAATTAAAGTACACTAATCCGATGCGGACCACTAAAACATGATTTTATTTCAAAATAGGCGCTTCCTTGGAACAAAAGTAACACTACGAGCTTTCTGGACCGCCATTTCAACAATCAACGTAGGCTTAATAGTAGACTTTAGTGTCCCTTTAATATGTACCTGCGAAGTTCCATTTGAGTACTCAGAAATTTCATACTAGTATTACGGTGTTCCATTTGAGTACTCAGAAATTTCATACTAGTATTACGGGGGCACGCTCCCGTTCTTTAGTGCAGCATGTACTTATGCTTTATATTTGAATACAAAATCTATAACTGCTATAGTATTTATAGAATTCTCAAAAAATAGCTCATCAGCTTGAACTGGTTTAGAGTTTAATTTAGGGTCCCTGTATTGAGAAGAATGGTCGGTTAGATCTGAAAACATGGTGTATGCATATTTATTGTAACAGGAATGTACTGTATAATCAGTTCCTAAGGAAGAATTAAAAGACGTATGACACTCACGTCTGCACCGCGTTGGGGTTCTTTTCAATCGCATAGATGCGAACCTTTTGTTCAGCTGACTCAGCAGCGTGCAGTGCAGCTCTGACAAGAGGACCTCTTCCAGCACCCACAACCATGAGGATACTGTAAGCAGCATCAAAAAATCAAAAGCATTGTCCACATTAGCATAAGTTGAGCCTTAATAAAACAAGGTTGCTAAAAATTGCCATTTCGCTATTACATTACAGCATCCTATACAGACGGATTTCACAAGGAGGCCACCATTTTTTCCGCCGCAGTGCCGTCTAGAGTGTGCGATGTTTCGCCGCCATGTCGGTGTGTGGGGATTTGCGACAGTGCATGCAGCGCAGCATGTGCACTCATTACACAGAGTACTGCTGTTCTTCGTGGTACACGGCCAAAACACCGCAACACTTCGCGAGTAAGGCGCAAGTAAGTAATCGCTAAGCTGTCAGCTTCGAAACGACTGAAACAAAAAGCAGCGGATACACACGAGATGTTACCGTATTTACTCGATTCTACCGCGCCCTCGATTGTAACGCGCACCCAATTTCCAGCGCAAAAAAAAAAAAAAAAAACGTAAGACATCGATTGCAACGCGCACCCATTTTTCTCGCTGGCCAGCACGATCACACCACTCGAAAAAACGACTCCTTTCGGGAGCGTGTTCCATTTAAATATGAGGTACGGGCGAAGCTTGTGCCCATCTGACGTGTAACAGAGCATCGCCATCACTGTAGTTTTACCATGGACCGAAGTCAGCACGCGAACTTGCTTTGCCCCCTTCTTCTCGACGGTTGTGGTGCCAGGCATGTCGAAATAAAGAGGCGTCTGATCGGCATTCCCGATTTGCCCAAGCAGGCAGCCGTTGTTGCGCCGCAAGTTTAGAACGAACCTCTGAAAACTGTGAAGTTTTTCATCGTAGTCCACCGCAAAACTTTTCGCATATGCATGTTCCCCTTCGAAAGGAAAAGCCTTTCCTCTTCATAAAGTTAGTTAGCCAGCACCTGCTCGCTTTAAACTGGCTCCGCATTAGACCTTTTTCTAAGATGGCATAGCCCGCACTTGGAGCAGTTCTGTCGTCAGTGGCCCCTGTGCCGCTCGCTGCTCAAGCACATACTCGCCGAGCAGCTCTTTAATTTGCGGAAACCGACCCTGCTGCGGGCCACTGAAGCCTTTGCGTGAAGCTTTGCTGTCGACAATCTTCTGCTTTTGTTTCCGCCGGTCCCGCACGCACGTTTCGGGAACTCCGAACAACCGCGATGCGGCCCGATTCCCGCCCGTTTCTGCACACGCGATGACTTTTCTTTCAAAAGCGGCATCGTGGTGCACTCGAGTTTTTGGAGTTGGCCCTTCCACGCCGTCGATGCTAATGCACTACTAGATGACGAACTCCTCAGCACACGTACGAAGTGCCGCACATGGGAAACACATAGGCTGAAATGGCCGACGCGCCATGCCGACGCACATAGGAGGCGGCCATTTTGGATTTGCCGATGACAATAGATTGACCGTAATTTTTTTGTTCGTACTCGATTCTAACGCGCATGCGATTTATGAACTCGCTTAACCAGAAAAAAGGTGCGCGTTAGATTCGAGTAATTACGGTACCGCAGTGGTGCCAACGACAGACAGGAGGCGAGTAAAATTTCAATGCATTTCTTAAGCAGCACATGTAAATGGGTAATTGGTTAAAATGTTTTGTCATAGCAACCCCTGTGGTGTTCTGGGAATATGCAGTCGCGTTAAATTTTCGAACAACTCTCGAAGTAATGGGTGAAACATTAATGGAGACGAGCAAATACGTATCGCATTGTCAAGCTGCACTTTAAGTGAGCGCATTAGTCTTGAAAATGACTCTCGAGTTTCTTTGCCGTGATTGCTGTGCAAATTAATGTAATCCTACAATCGCTAGCAGATCATCTGGTTCGACTCAGAATGTCACAACACAAAATTTATGGAACGAAGGAAGCACAGACACCAATGCCTGTGTTGATTCATGTTGTCCTCGTAGTCAAAAGCTTGTGTCTGATCCTTGTGCAGGATAACAAACGGATGGACAACGAATGAGCTTAGACTTCCACGTAGAAGCAACACAAAGACAAAACAAAAATAAATGTCGTGGACATCTGGAAACACAGCATGGCATAAGTCAAACTTTAGAGCGAGCAGCCGCCACTGGCGATACACAGAATGTGAGTCCATTTGTGGTAACATAGGTGTCGTTTCTTTCTTTTTGCATCACGACGAGCACATGTGTGCAGGTACCGACCTGGCTTCAACGATTGTAGGTCGATTGTTTACGACACTGAGGCTGCTGCGACGACAAAAAAAAAAAAAGAAGAAGAAGAATGGTTGTCACAAGACTGCTTTAGTTATCGTCGCAAAATTGACAAGTCGAGAAATTAGGTGCTGTCGAAACAACCCTAAAGGCACGTTCCTGAGCCAAAGAACACTTATGTCAGGCAGGCCTTTTTTCCATGCCATTTCGAAAATACTCATTCAATAATCTTAAAATTGCACGCATTCAGATTTCGGTAACCACAGGAATTGTAACTCATGTGCTGTTACATAGCAACTCGGGATGTTGAAGCTACAACAGAAGAATTTGGGGCAAAACATTTTCTGGATTAAACATCATTTTGACATCGCTTCTCTTTGCTACAGATTGAATTCACCAGCAACCCACCAGAATCAAAAACTGGTATCATGAATTAACAGCCACAAGGACAGACACAACATATAATGGAATATTTGTCGGAGGAAAAGGCCTGTGACCCAAGGAAAGTCATTTTGAAGGAAAGTACACCTCGCATGTCTCGGCTGCCAGCCTTTCGTGCTTTCGATTGTTGTTGTCGAAGCCAAACACAGCAACGAGATAGCCTGTTGACCTGTTCTCGTCCCATATTTTGATTTTTGGCAGCAGAACTGCATTAACGCATAAAAAAAAGAAACACATTGACCTCTCACGCACCATGCAAGCAAAGCGTGGTAATTCCCACACACCAGCGGCGGGAACCGAACGATCAGTGGTAGAGAGAGGCACGAAAATGCACCAGTTGAGAGCTACAATCATCCTTCTAGTGAAAACGGTCTATACAGTTAAACTCTGTTAACCGAAAACTGTAAAAATTATAAACGAAATCAAGTGAGTGGAGTTAAGACAAACAAAATCACTGAAGAGGTCACAAAGAGGTGCCGCTTTTGGCTGTAGCTGCAAGTGAAACAAAACTATGCCATATGTTTTTATTGATTCTGAAAGCTCATGTGCAATAAGTAGGAAAAGTTTAAGAAATATGAAAAATGGGTTTTTATTTCTCAATCGTCAACAGAATTTTCTATTCTATGCTATTTTCTTGAAGTTAGCCCTATCATATTTCTTTATTGAAAACTGATATTACTATAAGCATTGGCAGTTTGAGACAAGCATGCCGAGAAAGTAATTCAGGTTTGTTGTCACTCTGCCCTATGCCTTTTCTGAATGACCAGCAAAGTAGGGAAAAGAACGTTTCCTGGGCCGATTTTATTATAAGATAAATATACGTACAGCATGCAGATACACTAAAAATAACTGAACACAAGTGAAAGCATGCGTTCATATAGCCAGCTAAAGAAATTTGAGCTACGCAGGTTCACTCTATTTTGTGTAACTTGTCCCCAAGTCAGAAAAAAATAGCAGAGCAGGTAAGTGCAGCACGCCTCCTCTTCCATCATTATTGATTTCCACTGCTTAGAAAATAATTTTTCCGGTATTTCCGATTGCAGAATTCTTCTTTCCACTCATCAGGCATCACTATAGAAAATTTTGAAAAAAAAAATTTAGGAGGTCAACCGGTCATACTTTGTTCGATCAAGGAGGTTATACTAAAAAATGTTTGGAATGGCGGCCCTGCATACCCGCCCATCTATGAAAGTGAAGCCGCAACGGCCATATTGGTCAGGGCAAGCAGGTGGTTACTTCTTTGTACCCCCGTAATGCTCTGTGTGATTGCGGCTGTGTGTTTCGTTATAGCTACTAAAGCACGTTTATTATTTTTAGGAGGCAAAGAACTGTGGGAGTGACTATAATATGCATTTTCTTTCATTTTTTTTGTTTAACAATTACAGTTTTAAGCGTGTTGAAAAATGGTAGTCAGGGATATCAATTCGCATTATATGTTTATACAGTTGCCTGATGGCAGAAGTACCGTGTGAGACAGGCGGGTAGCCAGGGGGTAGCACACCGGCCTTGTGCCCCTCCCTCGAAATTTTTTTTTTTCACTATGGTATGCAGAGCGAAAAATGAACATGTTAAGGAAGTGCCCTCCCTGAAATAATGAAGGTGCCCGCCAACCCCACCCGGAAAAAAGTTTTGACTACGCCCCTGGTGTGAAGCTATGCAGCGAAAATAAAGTTTCGCTCGCACACAATCATAAGCCCTTGGCAAATAATAGTGCAGTGTCTGTGCGAACTCTTTTTATTATTCTGGAGGGATTAGACCTTTCTTGGAATCTCCTGGATATCCAGAGAAAATTATGCTTGAAAAACTTCCAATCCTTCATCCGATAACATGTTCAGCTCCATTACCTGGTCAATGAAATCCCGAGAAGCCTTAATACGTTTTAAAAGACCCCGTTTGTGCACTAAAATGTATTGACCTTCTTTTTCAGCTCTTGAACCTCTTGTGCCTGTATACACGCCTGCATTCACTTTGTGCCTGTGCCACTCCTTCGAGGGTGAAGTTTCTTTTTTTGCTTTTTTTTTGGGGAGGGGGGGGGTCGGCTGTTTCATCAATGACAAACGCTTCAAGTGAAAATGTTTTTTTCCCCTGACTATCCTGATATATACAAAACGGACAGGTGCAAGCGTTGCGACTTTAGAGCCACTCTGGAGCATATGTTATGGGAATGTAGAGGGATTAGTACTCATAACAAGTATGCGGCCTCTGCTGACAGCCTTCGCGCGCGCTGGGAAGCCGCAATGCTCAGTTCCGTCCTCGAAGACCAAATGTGGGCCGTCCAGTGGGCCGAGGAAGCCACCAGGATTTAAGGACTCCTGGCCGTAACCTAGGCGGGGCCAATCGCCCACCCCATCTACTCACCGAACTCTTAATAAAGTTCTTTCCTCCTCCTCCTCCTCCCGACTTTTCAGAGGCGGTCGTTTCTTATTCAACTAAACAAAGAGGCATAATGCAACACCAGAAATTTTGGCATTTGGACTGTAGTGCTCATGCAGATATATGAAGCTTATAATCCCATAAATGCACAGCTGGTGCTATATTTACTACCTTTAAGCTCTATGAAGCGCTCACTTGTACGAAATGCACTCAGTTACTGGCTTTTGTAGGTACACCAGAAACGGTGCAAACATGGTAGTGATGTTATGAAGCTTCTGGTCTCGTTATTTACTTTGTCTTGTTATTTACTGAAAATGGGTCGTCATTCTTATTTGGCGCTTCATTTTCTCGCCTCAGAGTACACTCTCATGTGCTGCGTAATACGACGTCCTTGGAATCCTGACACGTACACAAATGATTCAAAGTGTCTCTATGGCATCCAGACGCAAAAATGAAATCTTTGTACACGCGAATGCATTCGTAGTCGCAAACACATTCGAAGAAAAGCGAGCGAGCAAAGCCCGCCTATACCTACACATAGAAAGTTATGTCCGGTGTTCGCTACACACGACTCACGGAGCCAAAAGCTACGCGAGAGCCCAACGTCGTCTCGAATAGTGATCACGGGCATGTTCAGAACCCTCTTGTTCAATTAGAGGCACCACAAGCAACATCACTGGTGCAAAAACAATGCAAAAGCTATGGACGGAATACGCCCATTAGTTTTCTACTCTGAGCAATATGGCAGCGCATCGGCATCTACCAAGGAGCACATCTGCCACTCCAGATGCTTTAGTATAGTATAACCTCCTTGGTTTGATCTTACATGTAATCACCCCATAGCACAAAAAGAAAAAAAAAAAAACAGTTTCACTACAAGTGTGAAGCAATGAATGCGATGGCAACAAATTAGAATGTTATATGAAGTGACACTAGCAGCTCATTTTTTAAGGAAACATGGCCGATACAGTGAGTGAAGCAAGAGCTCTGCTGCGTGCGATTTCAAATCAAATTTCGCAATGAGAGCACAACACACAGGATGCAATGAGCCACCAGCTGATCACCTTTAAATAAGACAGGACACAGCTTGCCCAACTGCAGGTGATCACATCTGGTGAGTCATGGTGAATTGAGATTTGCAAATGAATAGCACAAAAGCAGATGTGAAACAATAAAAAGGACCAATGTCAAATTGGGACACCTGACACAGCAGGATAACTAATATTCAATTTTCAGCCACTCACATTTCTTTGTCCTTGCCAGCTTCGGCACCTTTGTCCATAAGAGCAAGGTGGATTGCCTGTAAGACAATGGCAGCCAGTTCAATTAATTTGCACAAATACAAAGGTAATGACTACTACAAACAATGAACTGCCACATCACAAGGGTTAGTTACTACCCATGTAGGTTCCACCTTGACTTGAGGTGAAAACCCGTGTGTTCTTTAATCACATGAGTTGTGAAACTCTCTGTAGGCCTTATGTATAAAGATCCGAAATCACCACTGGCCGACATTGCGCAATATGAAGATTAATTGATTGATTGATTTGTGGTGTTTAACATCCCAAAACCACCATATGATTATGAGAGACGCCGCAGTGGAGGGCTCCGGAAATTTCGACCACCTGGGGTTCTTTAACGTGCACCCAAATCTGCGTACACGGGCCTGCAATCTGAAGATTGTTGTCTCATCTGTTGACTAAAAAATAAATTAATAGACTCTTACGGAGCCAGGACTACGTGTAGCATTGAGCAGCTTGTGAAAAGTTTATAGCAATCTAGTGTATTGAATCACTGCCCGCTGATGGCACGACCATATGCAGGCCTTTGCGAAATTGCCCATGGGCAAGTCTGGGTTATGAAACGCAGTTTCATAACTGGTATGATCGAAGAACTCTTGTAACAACTGAGCAAAAAAAAAAAAAAAAAAAAATGAGGACAAGAGGAAAGAGTGAGCAAGACACCACGAGCATATCTTGCTTATTCATTCTGCCTGTCCTCGTTTCTGTGCAGTTTTCAACCACAGTTAAAGTGTGAACTAACTAGCTCACCAGAATGTCCTATTATAGCTTTCACTGATTGCCAGATTCCAATTATATAAGAAGAAGAAAAAACAAAGAAGATGCAGTTTTAGCGATAACAAACTGGTGTATGATTTACTAAATTCAGAAATTTCAGTTCCAGAACCACAATACGATTATGTGGCATGTCATAGTGAGAGACTACGGTAAAATTTTAAACATCTGGGACTTCCTTAACCTGCACCTAAAGCTAAGGACACACTAGGGGCGCTTTTGCATTTTGTCCCCATGGAAATGCAGCTGCCTAAGATGGGACTAAACACCCAAGCTTAAACTCTGAATGCCTGTTTGCCGCTAATGAAATATACATACAAAGAACTACGTCACCTTTCGTTGAAGCGAACCATGTGTAGATGTGAAGCAGCGTGCGCTACCGCTTAACTCGCAGTGCTGTTGACTTGCACATTTCTGACAAAGAGCTTTTGTTTTTGGCGAGTCATGGAAAGGGGGGCGGTGTTAGTACTCGTAAGTGATTTATCGGCTGTTACAAGCTGCCACTCTAGCGTCGCCAGCGCGAAGTCGGTGACGGGAATGACAGCAGGTTGGTTCGTTCCGTACGCAAGCAGAGACAGTGAAGAGATCAGAGACGTGGGAAAACAAATCAAACTTTACTCTAGTGATATTGCAGCAACACGGGATCTAATACAACACTTCAATACAATTAACAAAATACATCGACACTTGATACAACTAAAGAAATATATAACAGAAACAATAAATCAGCTTACGAGAGAGAACTATTACAAACTACACAAACTAACAAGAATAGGACGACGGAGTAGAAAGTTCGAAGATATAAACAGGTGAAGGCATACGTGTGATGACCGGCAGCGTTGTGTCCCCGACGATCGGAAGCGAGAAGTCGAAGAGAGTTCTGGCACGACTGCGATGTCGGCGGTGTTGCAACGCTGGTGGCTCCGGGAGGCTAGTGCTTGCAGGTGACTTCGAGCAGGTTGAGCTAACTCGAGGCGAAGTCCCGATGTCTACGTTGCAGACGTTAATATCGCGTCACAACTAGACGAACGGCTAAGTTTAGGTGGCCAGCCGATACAGAGCCACACTAAAAACTTCTAGAAGAGATGCTTGTTGATCTGTTTCTACACCATCTTGGTCAGCGACTAGTCTGCCTAGCAGGGCAAAATCCTGCGCTTAAATCCCCCTCGTGTCTCCTCGCTCTCTTCCTTGGGGACAAGAGACCTCTACCTGGGTCCAATCATGCGCGTTTAATTGAGGGGAAACTCCGCCCCAAAAATATTTTGACCCCACCCCTTTTTAATAGGGAGAGGGCCCGCAACTAGCGAGAGTGACAACCTGTCGGGTTGTTGTCATACGGCTTGGCCACCAGAGCGTTTCCCACGCTTTTCTCCGTGGGAACGGTCAACCACTTAGCTCTCAGCCGGGCGTCTTGTAGTCTAATCCTTGTACGGGTATACCGCGACCTTCTACGACCTTGCAGACGTCGCCACGGTTACAAAAGGATTAACTGTCGGCGGCGACGTTCTAAGGAGAGCACCCCCATTTTGCACTTATCGGTTCCCTTTCATGTGCCGCCGTTTCTCACGGTCAGTCGGGGAGTACGGCGCCCGTTAATTGCCGTGACGCGGTGTCGCCGAAAATAGCCGTCCGTGACATCGGCACTTTTTTACATTCCACCTTTCAATTTTTTCTTCCTGTTTTTTATCTTTTTTTGCTTTGCCTGTGTACACATACGTGCGTCCCAATGTAATAAACTTTAGTTAGAAGAATGCACTGAGTTCTCGTTCTCTCGCTCATTTGTTGTCCGTTTTTCGCGCTGCACTACATTACAATTGACTTGTTCCAACTCGCCCAACAAGTAACGTTGCTTAAGTTATTTTTCAATCAAGAAACTTGCTAGCAGACACTGCCTGCGTCGGCGTTGCGAGGCGAGAGAGGGGGAGGGGTGCACAGGGAGGGATGCCGAGAGAAGGAGGGGGGAGCTAGCACATGCTGCCTGAGTCAGCGTTACAAGGCAGGGCGAGAGATAGGAGGAGCTTAGGAGAGGAGAGAGAGGGGAGAGGCGTGCATGTGCTGTAAGGGTGGTCACGTCGCACACCGAATTGAGCTCAACCACAAGACACTACACATGTAAAAAATGTTGAGCACGACACCATGTGCTTCCCATGGTGTCCTCCTCATCTTGGTATGCATGTTTCATTAGGGCAGCTACGCATTCAATAGCTCAGCGACTAGGCCAGGAACAAGTTTTTCAAGAACAAGTTTTTCTCAATTTCGGCTGTGCAAAAAAAAAAATCACTCTAGACTACTGTGGAAGGTTTGTTTCACAAAAGGCCCAGGGAAAGCCTATAGAAGGCCCAGGGAAGCCTATAGAAAGAAAAGTCTATAGCATCACAACAAACAGACAACAGACTGTAAATGCCTAAGCTAGAAATGACTTGAAATACACAAGCTCAAAATGATCAAAACTAGATTATTATAAGGAATACTGATAAGTAATTTACTCAAATATACAGTGCTGTACGATTCTGAGCAAAGTATGTAAGGTAGTCCATTTTGTTCTGCCCAGCTGTAATGGCTAGTTGTGGCTAACAGTGATGTTACAATTATTGCATGGCACTGTTTGAAGCAATGACCCTTTTACAACGAAAGCTGTTATGAAATCAAAACTTGGGGCGCGTGCACCCTGCGTGTTCACCGCCGCTGCCGGCATCCGTAACCACTATCACGCAAAGTGAGAAAAAAATATAATTTAAAAAAACTAAGGACACAATGGGATTTGAACTTGGGTCCCTGCATGCCAGCCCAGTATTCTACCATTGAGCTACGCGGTGCTTGGAACTCCATGCCAAACTGACCTTAGGTAAACTTCATGTCGGGAAAGAAATCGCATCAATGTGTGTAATAACGCATTTAGAATAGCAAAGGAACAGCGAGACATCACACAATGCGAATTGCGCAACGAGTGTGTCGTTGAACGGTACAACTCAAAACATTTGGGCTAAGCAGAGTTCTTCATCGTCCTCGGCCACACCATCGAAAATTGCACAAAATTCCTTGCAAGTGAGTAGCAGGTATCGCGCTTCACCAAAGAATGACAAAGATTGGCATAGTGAATGCCTGCACAAAAATGATGATTTCTGGCATAGTGGGTACCCTACGAGTGTGCTAGTAGCAGTTATTCAAATAGTGTTTAAAAAGTATCTGAAAGACTGCTCTTCCAGCTTCTGCTGCGACAGTGCTGGGCACTACGTGCAGGCCTTGTGGTTTTTTATCATCCATTTAGATGCAACGTGTTCATTTTGGTACAGACGACTCAGTTATTTAAATTGGAATCGAGCAGAAAGAGTGCCACCACCAAGCGTGTTATTTTTTATTTATTTATTTAAGGAATACTGCAGACAGTTTTTCACCATCCTAGCAGGAGAGGGTTACATAAGGTTCCTAACACAGAGGTCAAAACTAGAAGAAGTCGGAGCGTGCACGCAGTCGGAAGGCAGTGAATTCCAGTCTTCAATGGTTCTTACAAAAAAAGAGTACTTGAATGTGTTATTTTTAGGAGCATATGGTCTTACAGTTTTTGAATGATTTAACCTTGCTGAGCGCTGAGGAGGTGGCAGAATGTACAATTCTTTATTTAAACTGGTGTAGTCTGGTCGGCGTTTTTCATGTCTTTGACCGCGTATGATTGCAGACCAAAAGAACTCAAGGTTTCCAGAAATGCACTCAAAATTCAAGCCTGAATGGGCTAAACAAGCATATAGAAGGTGTATAAAATGCTCTCAAATACTACATAAAGTAGTATGTGTTCTCACCCTCTGATACTCTGTGTACTTCACTGGATCCTTTTCGAAAATTTCGTACGTCACTGACTCCAGGTTGTCCATCAGGGGCTAGAATTTAGACATTGAAGACATTTAAACATCAAGACAAGTTCAACTTTTTTTTTTTTCAAACCATGGCATACACCATATAACTAAAGTTTAGTAATATAAGTCCAAGTAGATAACAATTTTTCTACAAAGAAGGTCTCAGTAATTAGCCGTAACTCCTTTCAGGATTTCAATGAATTCAGCACTATTATTCTCAAGAAGAACGTCAAGGCGTAAGGCATGAATTCCTATCAAGTTTTCATGTTTATGCAGAACCAAACGTGCCTGTAAAACATCAGTAAGAATGAACACTATCTTTTTAGACTAGCAGCGCAGACCAATGCTGTGTTTGAGCTTCCTTTAGCTAGAGTCCGGAGCTTGTGGCACACAAGCAAATGTATTACGTGATCAGTTTCTGCTGGTGATACTTGGAAGTGTCACGCGAAAACTCCATGTCTTCGCTTCAGAAATGGGAATGCCAAGGACACACTTTAGGGCCAGCAGGGCGTGCAAATTTAAGGATATGAAAAGGCCTGGCTTGACGATCAGTTTAACAACAGCCTACCGTATTTACTCGATTCTACCGCGCCCTCGATTGTAACGCGCACCCGATTTCCACCGCGAAAAAAAAAAAAAAAAAACGTAAGACATCGATTGCAACGCGCACCCATTTTTTTTTTTTGCTGGCCCGCACGATCACACCACTCGAAAAAACGATTCCTTTCGGGATTGTCTTCCATTTAAATATGAGGTACGGGCGAAGCTTGTGCCCATCTGACGTGTAACAGAGCATTGCCGTCACTGTAGTTTTACCGTGGACCGATGTCAGCACGCGAACTTGCTTCGCCCCCTTCTTCTCGACGGTTGTGGTGCCAGGCATGTCGAAGTAAAGAGGCGTCTGATCGGCATTCCAGATTTGCCCAAGCAGGTAGCCGTTGTTGCGCCGCAAGTTTAGGACGAACCTCTGAAAACTGTAAAGCTTTTCATCGTACTTCTCCACAAAAGTTTTCGCATATGCATGTTCCCCTTCGGAGGGAAGAGCCTTTCCTCTTCATATAGTTAATTAGCCAGCACCTGCTCGCTTTAAACAGGCTCCGCATTAGACTTTTTTCTAAGACTAATTGCATAGCCCGCACTTGGAGCAGTTCTGTCGTCATGGGCCGCTGTGCCACTCGCTCCTCAAGCACATACTCGCGGAGCAGCTCTTCAATTTGCGGAAACCGACCCTGCTGTGGTTCACTGAAGCCTTTGCGTGAAGCTTTACTGTCCACAATCTTCTGCTTTTGTTTCCGCCGGTCCCGCACGCACGTTTCGAGAAGGACCACGATGCGGCCCGATTTCCGTCCGTTTCTGCACACGCGATGACTTTTCTTTTAAAAGCGGCATCGTGGTGCACTCGAGTTTTTGGAGTCGGCTCTTCCAAGTCGTCGATGCTAATGCACTACTAGATGACGAACTTCTCAGCACACGTACGAAGTGCCGCACATGGTAAACACATAGGCAGAAATAGCCGACGCACCATGCCAACGCACGTAGGGGGCGGCCATTTTGGATTTGCGATGGCAATAGATTGACCGTAATTTTTTTGTTCGTACTCGATTCTAACGCGCATGCGATTTATGAACTCGCTTAACCTTAAAAAAGGTGCGCGTTAGATTCGAGTAATTACGGTAAATTAAATTAAGTTTCCATTACAAAATGGGCACGCACAAGTTTGGGGTGCTCAACCTGTACTCAAGTAAACTTACATTCGTGCAAATATGGTACAGTCGAACCCTTTTATAATAGACATTGTTATAAGAGATACCAGTCTGCCTACAGTAAAATACAGGTTAATGAGAAAATGCATATGTGGTACCCTGCTTATAGTGACATCTCATAGAAAAGACAAGAAATGCTTCCCAGAGCATGCCTCTAATAAAAGGGGTTCAACTGTGTGTATCTTTTTTTGGAGTGATATTCTGCTATCAGACAGAAGGGTCAGACTAACATATAACTGCAATTACCTGGACCCAGCAAAATATTGTCATGGTTATACTGTACCAGCATCAACCAGTGTTTATTTAATCGAAGCCGCAGCCAATACTTATTCTGACCCAAGGTAATTAAAATTGTTACTTTCTCATATCAGAAGAGCAAAAGTAAAGAAATACTATCACACCTGAAGTGGTATTTGCAGATAGTCTTCAAACCCTTTGGAAAATTCACTCAAAGGGTCATCTGGAGGCTGTGTCTGGAAAAAAAGTAGAAACCAAGTTAAAACACATGATAGACTGCAGTGCTATCAAATATTAAGAGCATAATCAAGCCAGCGCCTCGTCTATTTTATCAATGCCAGCCAGGTGCGCCCAATTTAGCTATTCACCACCCTCTCCTCTAGCTCTTTTTTGCTCTCGCCCATAACCCAGCCTTCGCCTGTGCTTTGTGGTCGTGGGGAAGAGAGCCCTTCATGCAGTGCCTCATGACGGGAATATGTAATATGAAGTTTTTTTGTTCAGTTGAGTACAGATCCGTGTGGCGGCGTCTCGCATTCCTCGTTATCACAAAATTGGCGGTCACACTGGCTCTGTAAGTGATGCGGTGTTTTGAGATAGCGTGTCGCCGTTCGTGGCGCTATGCAGGCACCAAGTGGAAATGCGTCAAGGAGACATTGCTGCATAAGTAGTGCTGTGAGGTGGCGATGGCAAAGCTTCGAGCCAAAAAGAAGGAGCACGAAAGAACAAATCTGAGAGACGTACGATATTGGAGAGGGACACACGTCTATCACATTTCCGAGGGAAAGCGCTTGGAAGCACAGGTAACGCAAGCAGCCCTACCCCTCCTCTGGCGTCGCGTCACGACCACCCTCTGAACTAAGGCGGACCGACAATTGCCGTTGAAGAGCATGCATTTACACTGGCATTGAATGAAATAAAGGAGCCGTTGATCAAGCACTAGGATCAAAAACTAGCAATGCGCATGTACAATCAAGCCCCTTTATAAGAGACAGCAACAACTGGATATAAAAGCCACCAGTGTGCCTACAGTGAAACAGGGATTGATAAGGAAATGCATACATGGTACCCCGCGACTAAAAGACGCTTCATATAGAAGACAAGAATTGCTTTCCAGTGCACGGCTCTTATACAGGGGTTCAACTGTAATGAGAAGTTTCGACAGTTGAGGTAAAGCGTACAAATAATTCAGAGCACTTTCTCTACAGTGAAAATGGTAGCTAATGAAGCTGTGACTATGATGGGCCTGATACAGGGGATATTGCTAAAGACGGGGTGAAACATTGAAAGTGAGATTCAAAATTTGGCTATACAACAGTGGTAATGAAAGGTGTGGGCATATGGGTATAGAATTTTTAAGGTAGAATTTTAAAGTCTCGAGCAGCCTGCATTAGAGCTCAAAATTAGTTTCAAATTGTGCTTAGTCCTCTTAATTCTTTTATTTTCAATTTTTCAACAAATGTACTTTTTTATTATCTGCAGAGCATTGAATTTACCACAAAGGAAGTTTGGTGCTTTACAGAATTGGAACCAAAAATGTGAGCATAGAACAAAAACATGATTTGTTATGTTTATATTCGTTAATGTATTCAAATTGGCAATTATGAATGCTTTCTCTCATAAACAAAAACTGATGCACCTAGGCTACTCATTCTAGCTCCAGTTATGTAAATGCCACTGCTTTACCAATAAGAGAAGTTGTGCCCAATAGTGAATGTACACGAACGCCAAAAAAGTTGTTTTGAGAAAAGTGCTTAGTTACATAAAGTTACACACGCATTTCTTGTCAGCGAGTCAAAATATAAAAAAATATTTTTTAAACCACGAGTGCCCACGTGTCATATATTTACAAAAAGATAAGGAAATTCTCTATTGGGTGATTGGAAAATCCCAAAATTGAATTTCTTTGTCAAAGCAAGTCTCAACCCACCAAAAATTAATTTATACAAGTCAAACCCACATACATCGAACTCAAGAAAAAATAACACATCATTCAATATATTTATTTATTTATTTTATTTATTTATTTATTTATTTCGACATACTGCCAATCCCATCAGGGATTTTAGCAGGAAGGGCGTGAATATAAAAATTGGAATAAGTACACAATAAAGACATACATCGCAATAAAGTACAGAATGAAACTAACAGAATCGGATCATTTAACAACTTCAGATCAAAGAAGGCATAAAACATTAGTGTAAAGAAAGTTGTCAGAAGAAAATAAATGCAGCGACTTGGTTGACACATTGGTTATATATCAGATATCAGATAATCCGATACAAAACTCCAGTAATTGTTAGGGTTTAACATCACAAAATGATGATAAGCTTATGAGAGATGCCATAGTGAAGGACTTCGGGAATTTCGACCACCCAGGTTTCTTTAACGGGCACCCAAACCTAAGGCCCCCCAAGCATTATAGCTTTTATCGAAAATGAGGCCGCAGTGATTGTGTGATGACGTTTATTCGAGCCGAGAAGTCGCAGCGAGGTCGCAACGGAAAGTGGGCGTACGGCAAGTCTGGCAGAGGCGGCACAAACTCTCGCGCAAGTAGAGCACGGGCTTTTTGTTGTCTTCCGAAGGCGCATACGCGTTGGTGCGTATGCTCCACTACAATACCCCCGGGATGAAGGGTAGCCATCCTGGCGACTCAGGGAGTAGGCACAATGATGGGGTCGTAGTAGGGCTTGAGACGGTCGACGTGTACGGTCTCGCGTCCTCGACGGCGCAAATCTGGTGATTGTGTTAACGGCTCGATGATGTAATTCACCGGGGAGGTCGCGTCAATGACACGGTACGGACCATGGTACCGGGCCAGAAGTTTAGAAGACAGGCCAGGAACGTGCGGGGGCACCCAAAGCCACACAAGGGAGCCAGCACGAAATGTAGGAGCTATGCGGTGAGCGTCGTCGTGTCGAGTCTTTTGTAGACCTTGAGCCTCACTTGTCAGAGACCGAGCCAACTGACGGCAGTCTTCAGCGTATCTGGCGACTTCCGAAAGCGGGGAGCACTCAGATGCATCAGGGCGGTACGGTAGTATAGTGTCGAGGGGGTGGGAAGGTTCGCGGCCGTACAATAGAAAGAACGGAGAAAAACCGGTAGTCGCTTGCGTCGCGGTGTTATAAGCGAAGGTAACAAAGGGCAATACAGCGTCCCAGTTAGTGTGGTCGGAGGAGGTGTACATCCTCAGCATGTCGCCAAGTGTGCGGTTGAACCGCTCAGTAAGACCATTTGTCTGTGGATGGTATGCGGTAGATTTCCGGTGGATAATGTTGCATTCAGCGAGGATAGCTTGGATGACCTCCGACAGGAACACTCGACCCCTATCACTGAGTAATTCCCGCGGAGCACCATGGCGTAGAATGAAGTTGCGGAGAATGAAGAGTGCAACTTCGTGGGCGGTCTGAGTAATTCCCGCGGAGCACCATGGCGTAGAATGAAGTTGCGGAGAATGAAGAGTGCAACTTCGTGGGCGGTCGCTGCCGGTAGAGCTGCAGTCTCAGCGTAGCGTGTCAGATGATCGACTCCGACAATAATCCACCGGTTTCCAGAGCTACTATATGGGAGTGGGCCATAGAGGTCTATACCCACGCGGTCGAATGGGCGAGCCGGGCACGGCAGCGGCTGTAACATGCCGGTAAGGTGCCGCAGAGGTGTTTTGTTCTGTTGGCAAGTGGTGCAAGACTGAACGTATTTCTGCACAAAACGATACATTCCTCGCCAGTAATAGCGTTGGCGCAGCCTTTCGTAGGTTTTCAGGACACCTGCGTGAGCACTTTGGGGATCTGCATGGAAATTCATGCAGATGTCAGAGCGCATATGAGTTGGGACAGCAAGGAGCCACTTCCGACCACCAGGCGTGTAGTTGCGGCGGTACAGAATGTTGTCACGTAAGGAAAAGTGGGCTGCTTGCCGGCGTACCGCTCTCGTGGAAGGGACAGAAGACGGATCGGTAAGGTAGTCGACTAACAAGGCAAGGTATGGGTCTTTACGCTGCTCCGAAAGCATGTCAGTGCTGTCGAGTGGTGACAAGGTGGTAAAAGGGGGTGACAGAGAAGCCACATCTGGTGTTAATGGCGATCGGGAAAGGGCATCGGCGTCCGCATGCTTGCGACCGGAACGATATACGACATGGATGTCGTATTCCTGCAATCGAAGTGCCCAACGGCCCAGACGTCCGGACGGGTCTTTCAAGGTGGACAGCCAACAGAGAGCGTGGTGGTCTGTGACCACATCGAAAGGACGGCCGTAAAGGTACGGGCGAAACTTCGTAAGCGCCCAGATTATGGCCAAACACTCCTTCTCTGTCACGGAGTAATTCAATTCAGCCTTCTTAAGAGCGCGACTTGCATAAGCGACTACGTATTCGGTTTGGGTACCTTTCCGTTGTGCCAAAACTGCGCCAAGACCAACGCCGCTTGCATCAGTGTGAACTTCTGTGGCAGCAGTGGGGTCGTAGTGGCGAAGAATAGGTGGCGAGGTCAGCAGGCGGCGCAGCTGGTGAAATGCGTCGTCACATGCAGGTGACCATGCAGATATACCTTTGCTGTTGGAAAGCAGACTAGTCAGAGGTGCAATGATGGACGCGAAGTTGCGCACGAAGCGACGAAAGTAAGAGCAAAGACCAACGAAACTTCTTAGGGCTTTCAGTGATGTGGGCATTGGGAAGTCAGCGACAGCTCGAAGCTTATCGGGGTCCGGAAGAACACCGTCTCTTGTGATGACATGTCCCAAGATGGTTAGTTTGCGGGCTGCGAAGTGGCACTTTTTGGTGTTAAGTTGTAGGCCTGCAGAAGCTAGACACGCCAGAATCTCGTGGAGACGACGAAGATGTGTCGGGAAATCAGCTGAAAAGACTACGATGTCATCTAGGTAACACAAGCAAGTTTTCCACTTGTGGGCCCGCAATATGGTATCTATCATGCGTTCAAACGTCGCAGGCGCGTTGCAGAGCCCAAATGGCATGACTTTAAACTCATACAGGCCATCTGGCGTTACAAAGGCTGTTTTAGGGCGATCACATTCAGCCATTGGCACCTGCCAATACCCAGAACGCAGATCCAAGGATGTGAAGTACTCGGCGCCTTGTAAACAGTCAAGAGCATCGTCTATTCGTGGTAGCGGGTAGACGTCTTTCTTTGTAATCTTGTTTAAGCGGCGATAGTCCACGCAAAATCGAACGGTGCCATCTTTTTTCTTTACCAGAACCACGGGTGACGACCAAGCGCTTTGAGAAGGCTGTATGACTCCACGTTTAAGCATGTCATCTACTTGCTCCGTAATGACGCGGCGCTCTTCGACAGAAACGCGGTAAGGACGCTGTCGCAGAGGCGAATGTGAGCCGGTGTCAATAGTATGAGTGACAGTCGTGGTGCGGCCCAAAGCAGGTTTCTGAAAGTCGAAAGAAGAGCGAAACTTGTTAAGGAGAGCAACAAGTTGGTTGCGATGCGAGGGGGGAAGGTCTGCGTCAATAGCATCGTCGAAGGCTGGTGAGCTTGATGGCTCAGACGCCTGAGTGATTGCGGCAATCTGACATGGCGTTTCGTCGGGAAGAATAATATCATTGATATGGTCGACAGGTTGCACATATCCTAACGTTTCACCACGAAGCAAGCCAATGGGGTAGTTGCAGTGGTTGGTAACCAGCATTACGGTTAAACCAGACGCAATCGTAAGAACGGCAAATGGGAGCACGATGCCCTTGCGTTCAGTAAAAACAGGGGATGGCGTAAACACCACCGTGGCGTCAGGTTGCGCCACACATGAAAGGCTAATAGGGACTGAAGCTTCCGGAGGCAAGGTGATGTCGTCGTCAGCGATGAGTTTGCAGAGCAGTGGTGAATGGTCGGGCGATGGAAACTCACAACTTGGCACTAACGACACTTCCGCACGGCAACAATCGATGATAGCTTCATGACCTGATAAGAAATCCCAACCCAGGATGAGGTCATGGGAGCAAGATGGTAGTACGAAAAATTGGACGATGTACAAAACGTCTTGGATGACGACGCGCGCCGTACACACAGACGAGGGCTGAATGCGTTGCGCGCTAGCCGTGGACAGCACGATGCCACAAAGAGATGTGGTCACTTTCTTCAGTTTGCGACAAAATTTTGCGTTCATCACAGAAACGGCGGCCCCAGTATCAATTAACGCTTGTGTGGGGACTCCCTCAACATTGACATCAACAACATTTCGCGGCGAAAATGGAGGCCTTGATAATTGCGCAGAAGTTGCAGTTCTTGCCTCTGGAACTGCACCGATTAGTTTCCCTCCTCAGGGGGTGGTCTACGACGCATAGGAGATGGTGATCGGCGACGAGGAGATGGGAAACGAGAAGTTGATGGGCGACGATCCGAGTCAGAGTGCCTCTGTTGGTATGCAGACGTGGTGGCCTGCTGCGACGCATAGGTAGGAGTTCCAAAGGAGGCGTACGCAGGTGTGGGACGGCGGCAGCAGTAGCGTGCAATGTGGCCAGCGATGCCACACGCGAAGCAGATAGGACGGTTGTCATGGGTGCGCCACTCATTAGATGGACGGAAAAAGCGAGGTGAGGGCCTGTAAACCGGAGGCGCTGCCGGAGGACTTGGAGCCGATAAGGATACTGGATGCGGTGGGGGTCGCGCAACCACAGCTGCGTAGCTGAGAGGTGAAGATGGTGCAGGTGGTGCGTAGCTGACAGCTGAGAGATTAGATGCTGCTGAAGTGCATGCGTAAGGGGCCTGCACTGTAGGTAGGGCATCGCAAATTTCAGTGCGTATGGCCTGCTGCAGTGTCGAAGGCAGACTTGCGGTGGGCGCGTCGCTATGCGGCAGCAGGGAGAGCTGTCGGGCGACTTCCTCCCTGATGAAGTCTTTGATCTGGTTGGACAGGCTTTCTTGGCGAACGTTGACATTTGCGAGTGCGACAGCCGAGATCGAATCTGGTGGTGAGACACTCTGTCGGGCGATGGAACGCTGACGGCGTAATTCATCGAAGCTCTGGCACAGGCTTACGAGGATTGCCACCGAGGTTGGGCTTTTCGCTAGCAACATCTGGAATGCGCCATCCTCAATGCCTTTGAGAATATGCCGAATTTTCTCTTCTTCGGGCATAGATTGGTTAACACGCCTGCAGAGGTCGAGCACATCCTCAATGTAACTCGTAAACGCTTCGCCAGGCTGCTGGGCTCTGTGGCGCAGACGCTGGTCGGCGCGGAGCTTGCGGACTTCTGGTCGGCCGAACGCTTCTGTTACGAGGGTCTTAAAGGAGGACCAGTTGGTGATGGCGGTTTCGCGGTTGGTAAACCAAAGCTTAGCTACATCTGCCAAGTAAAAGATGACGTAAGCGAGTTTAGAGTCGTCGTCCCACTTGTTGCTGACGCTTACGCGTTCGTACAAGGAGAGCCAGTCTTTGACGTCTTGCTCACCACTTCCGCTGAAGATTGGTGGGTCCCGCTGGCGAGTAGCGCCGGGGCAGGTAGACGGGGCAGCCGATGGTGCTGGCTGGGCTGGGACGGGCTGGTTGGCGACTGCGTCAGTCATGTTTCGCGGTAGTCTTTCAGGCAACTTGCGAGAGCGGAGCTCCAGGTCTTCTTGGGGATCTCAGCAGCCTCCACCAAATGTGATGACGTTTATTCGAGCCGAGAAGTCGCAGCGAGGTCGCAACGGAAAGTGGGCGTACGGCAAGTCTGGCAGAGGCGGCACAAACTCTCGCGCAAGCAGAGCACGGGCTTTTTGTTGTCTTCCGAAGGCGCATACGCGTTGGTGCGTATGCTCCACTACAATTGGAATTTGATCCCAATATAAGCCTTTCAAACAATATTTCCGTGAAAGTGAATGACTGTTATTGTGAATTCCGGTGCGAGAGTTGACCTCACAACAATGCTCTCGATAATGTGAGGAAGATGCCTTCATGGCAGTTTGCAGGCTTTCTTTTTAATTTTGTATTTTTTCGAGGTTCTTAGTTGGGGATGCGAGGATACATAAAGGGTGGGTTATATGCAAGAAAATGCTATTTCGATCATAATAGTGCCTTGAAGTCTTCATACACAGCTGAGTGTACTTATCGGGCGCCAGAAGCGTCAAGTCTGCCTAGGCCTTTAATGTTGGCATTTCTTCAATATCACACTGAGTGCACTTCCTGGGAGTGCTCTGCACGGCAGTGACACGTTAGACTTTATAGATTATAGGTAGCTTTAAGAAGAACAGCTAGTTATTCTGTTTTAAAGCGTCTATCACATTAAAAAAAACAAGCAGGTGAACGGTGACCCCAACAACCGACCAGCACTAAAATTCTCGCTCCCCCTTCAAACGCTTCCCCTTCAAAAATTCTCGCTCCCCTTCACCACAGAAATATATTTCTGGCTACGCCCAAGCTCTCTCGCAACTCATGGCGGACTCCATGGACGCATATACACCTGCAAACTGGCCTGAGCATTCACTACATAATGTCGATGAAAATCTGCTGCACTTACAGCCCACAATGGAAGCAATAGAAGTCTTTGCTCAATGCCAATATACATTTTACTGTTACTTACTTTGTAAAGGTGGTCGACGTACTGGTAGTACAGACTCATGTGCTCGTGACGACAGCTCCCGTCAACCAAGAGCTGGCATCCAAGCTGTTTAGCCAAATAAGACAAAAAGAGGGGCACGTGTAACATTCATCAGCAACTCTGCATCTCTTGAAGTTCATTGATTTAAGGAAGCACTGACACAGAGGTTTGAAGGTGAGATAATGAGTGTGATAGATCTATGTGGAGGCATACACAACACCCAAAAAATATCAAGGGCAAACATAGCCTAGAACATATTTAAAATCAATTTTAATGTGCACAGCGCGTGACTGAGCGAGATGCAGAATCCCTCGCAACACCGGCATCAACGCAGGGGCAATGTAAACGAACCTACATAACACGTTTGTGTTGGCTGGTTGCTGGCACGGGCTTCGCACTCTGGCTACCTTTGATTTCCTCCTCCATCACTGCGACTTTACATGTGCTGACTGTGCTGTGACATGCTTACCTTGCCCCCACAATTGCTCCTGCTTAGCTTGGCGCTCTTTGAACTCTAAACATGAACTGGGCGCTCTAAAAATGTCTCTAAATAAATAATTGTCGCACACTCGTGTAAAAGAGGTCTCCAGCCATGATAAGTTGGTCAGAAGCTACCCATTGCAACGAAAAAAAAAAAGTGCAAAATTTTTGTGTCAGTGCTCCTTTAAGTGTTTCATTTACTGAGTGATGAAAATGGGGTGCGAAATTCAAGTAAGAAATGAACCAGAGCTACATCTAAGGCAATTGTTTCATTTAAGTAGCAATTGCGTCTAAAAAATTTCCAGTTGCTAAGACACTACTGTACACTCAAACTTCACTATAGTGAACCCGGATATAAGAAAATATTAGTCATAATGAAGTAAATACAAAATATTCTTTCAATAGATACAGTGTCAGGAATATACCATAATAACAAATTTTTGGATGTAACGAACTTATTTTCGTGCAAAATGCAACTTTGTTATAACGAGGTTTGAGTGTAATTTGAAACGTGGCTACTAACAGTCTAGTTAACCTGAAGATTTAGGGCACCATATGTGGCAATTGTCGATCCTGATTTCACCACAAACCCAGCAATACGACAATACTATGTAGTCACAAAGCAATGCCCCATAGCGATGTTGTTGACTGATAAGTGAAGGAGGGGGGGGGGGGGGGGGATTCTTCAAAAAAAGGTAAGAAAAATGGGTGTGTGAAGTGCACGATAACTGTCTCTCATGTGAGGAAACATCAACCGATATACTCACGGGAGAACGAGGAATGAAAGGACAGTTAGAGTAAAGAAAAGAAAGTAGGCTAAAAATAAAGGGGGTCGGGGGTGAAGTCAAGGAGGAGAAAGAAAAAAGCAAAACTAGTCTGATAGGAGGACACGCTTCACCGTGGGAAGCGGCTTATGAAAGCCGCTCGGCCAAGCTGGGGCAGATACAGAGACTCATTTTAGAGGGGGTGGGGTCGCTTGAAGTATTACTAACATCGAAGGGGGGGGGGGGGGGAGTGAGGTCGTGGCTTTTTTTTTGTTTTTAGTAGCACGAAAATCTCAGCATAAATACTGTTAGCACGTGCTCACAGTGGTCCCACTCAGTTGTTCTAATTGGTGATAGGTGGCGGACAACAAAGGCACTAAAGAAAGGGGAGGGGGACACAGCATTAAATTACCCACCCCCTGGATTCGCTACTGGGTAAAGAACCCTATCATCGTCGCTGACAGCTCAAATCTGAGGCAATCTCAGATTTGTAAGCTATTTAAGCAGCTTGACAAACGATAGGAAATTTTCACTAACTGCATCCATCAACTTCTCAACCTGGCACATTCATGAACACACATGTGCACACTGAAAATGATAGGGTTTTTTAACAACTGTTGCAAGTTTTTTGACATTGTCATATGCAAATGTAAGAACCCTATCTAGGGCGCTTCTGGCATTACTTCTGTGTTTTTTTTTTCTATTCTGCAGAACAGCACAAACAAACTGTCGTGTTAATCCATAACACCATAATGAAACACCTTTCACTGAAGGAACATCACCTTTGAAAGAGCCTCACACAAGTGAGTTTAACAGAAGGTATTAGTGTCCAATGCAGCATCCTTTCTCCACTTCATAAAAAAGATTTTAAACCTTAAATATGACTGCATGACCACAACTACATGAGGATATCATAAGTAATTTATGAAATTTAAGGGTATAATATTATAATAATAAGCAAAAATACATCATCAATTCCATGGATTTGAAGTATGTTTCAGCTTATTACGCGCTACACAGAGGCACATACCAACATAGGATATTTAGTACATGTCCATAGGTGTACAATGCTGTAGTAGGTCATTATAGTAATGCCACACAGCTCTAATGGGGCATATTGACACACGCGCCAGACACCACACACTTTCTGGCAGGTACACTGAATGCCAAACGAGAACATTCACTTCACTTTAGACAATGATGGTATAATATGACGAAACGATGACACACTGAACAATGCAAAGCAGCCAAGCCAAGAGAAACAAGGGGACCGCCATCCTAATAGACAATAGACAGAAGTTACAAAGCTGCCGTGAGAATTTGAAACTTTTAAATTGTCAAAAAAACTTTGCAGTCGTGCAGTGATTTTGCCCTGGGGTGTTGGTATCACCACACTCCACATTGACAGTGAAATACTGCTCATCACACTTCCGGCTTGAACTTTTTTTTGGCACAATGGCACCATTCACAGTAGGTGCACCATGTGTGTGTTATCAAAAAAGTAACCTGGTCTCCACAAGCAATCTCAGAGTCCACTGCCTAATAAAGGTACGACGCCACCATTGGCGAAGCCCGGGAAATAACTTGTTAAAGGGTTAATAAACAGGCTGCAACTTTTTTTTTTGCACCCCCTAAACAAGGTCGCGAATTTGTACAATAGACTGTGGCGATCACATTTTCTGAATTTTACAAAGCTGCGTGTGGCACAGACCGTCCATTTTGAAAAACCTCCATTCCCACGCCTCTTTCCTTTGACTGACCAATGCCCCTCGCACGGGAAGTGACGCAAACTTGCCCATGGACAACTTGACATGCCACTCAGCCCATTGATTGGTCTTCTTGCCTTGTGAAAAGGTGCCTTGGTCCTGCGGTGATGCAGTTCTGGCAGTGCAGTCCGCATTTTCACTTTCTTGTGCTGCCCTCTGTCATTTTGTAAAGCACGACATTACCGGTAGAAGCAGTATTGCCAGAACGAAAGCCTCCAAGAGAAACAGGCACCCCTCCACTTTGCCGCTAGGGGAAGGGTGCTCCTTGGACCGCACCTCCTCACTGCGCCGCTATGACACATGCTTATATGGGGGAAGCCCTGCTTGGTCGTCGGCTGCATTCCGATGACAAATCCCTGACGTCGTGTCACATTGCCAAAGTGAGCAGAGCCACGATCACGAGCTGTGCTTTTCGCTCTCTATGGCAAAGAAGAGTGGTGCAGCCGTGCGAAAATTCGACACCAGCTGAAACGGGTGTTTCAGCCCTTGTAACTTTCTTATTATACCCCGTATTTGCAAAATTCTTGCAGCAGGATGCTTGCATAGAAAAAGTGCGCATATTTCTTTTCATTTTTTTTTAAGTCATGGTTGCTTACTGGCCCTTCAAGATATCGCTTCAAGTACTATTCATAGCATACAAAATTTCAATTATGGCTTTCACTCAACACAATCTAAAATGCTTCACTAACCTTGAAAAACCGATGAAGAACTACTTGGTGAGTTCTGGGTAAAACAGGAAAGCCCCTCTTGTTTGTCAGGAAGACTGAGGTGCTCATCACTAGACATCTCACAGGTTCTCCCAACCAGCGACGCAGCGTCTCTTCAGATGGCATGTCAGCAGTCAGCCTAAGTGCTACACCTATGCGCTTTTCTGGACCGGCCACACCCCTAATCACATTCCACCTGAAAAATCAAAATTGTAAGGCCATCATTTCAATATTACCAGCAAGAGGTAAACCTCAAAAAAAGATAATCTGGTCAATTAAGTCTGCTCAACATGAACAAAACAAAACTTTTGTGAAATGACTTATGCTGATAGCCCTCTAAATTGTCTAGGCTGTTCTCATTGTCACTCACAGCTTACATTTTGTGCAATGAACAAAGGACATAGTTAGATTGAGGCAACCATTAGCAGCGTGTTGTGTGTAGTGCAGCTAATGCGGCTGCTGCAGAGCGCAGAGTTTCAGACCCGTCAACCAACGACGCCGATCGGTTGCGCGAGACCAACGCGGAAAACCCGGGCACGGGAAAAAAAACCAGACTCCTTTGTTCACACGGTTCACGAGCGGAGCCGTCAAGATCACTCCGTTTGGGCCTAGAAGAGGAAAGCTTACTCGGACGCGCGTCTTGCAAGAATCACACGTCAAGCACGGTCGTCATTGATGGCATGCACATGTGCCATTGAGAATGCCGCAGGAATGTGACCACTGGGCTGACCGAGACATGGTTGCGACACGGAGACGAGCTTATCCTCCTTGTCGCGTGCACACCTGGTCAATGCGCAGGGCCTGACGGTGTACTCTCCGCGCTTAAAGAGGCTTCTATGAAGTGACGTGTAATGAGAAAGCTGATGGAGCTCGAGCGTGAGAACGGCTACCAACAGAGGTCGGCCGATGCACAGCCGGGCATGGGAGAGTGTGACACGGGGAGAACCTATTCCTTCCTGTGTTGTATTTGTTAACACATTTTTTACCAATGCAGTGCCTGTTATGAAAGTGTTTCTGTGATTGGTTGTGATGATACGAGCTCCAACGTGTAATTGGCTTGTGCGGAGACCCTCTGTTCAACCGAGGGTTGAAAAGAAGGTGTTTGAATGTAAAATAGAGAGCGGAGGTTCAAGCTTGGACTCGGGCAGACGGCTGAGGCTGCAATAAAGCGCCTCTTCACCGAACTACGGTTCTTCCTTCGCGCTGCCCCCGAGCACTCGAGTCATCGAGGGGCACCATTCTGAACCTCAGAACACCTTCCCTCCTTAGCTAGTGTAGAAGCTAGTCAAAGGGGAAGAAAACTAACTGACATATTAGAAGCTTACAAGGACTTCAGCAGTAGGCTGGTTAGCAGTAAGCTTGTTGACCCATTCCCAACCAATCTTTTCTGGCCGAGACCGATACCAAAATGCAGATTCCTCTTTCAACTTCGCATTATTTGACTATAAATACTTTGCAACAAAGAAAAAATCATTACTCTATTCACATAACACACACGACTCCCTTCCCCCCCCCCCCTTTTTTTAAATATTGCAAAGGATTGGCCTTGCTGCACTGCACTACGAAAGGTGCCTTAACTCTCACTCTCTGGTGCAGAGCAAGTCACTTTGAAATTTAAAAAATAAAATGCCAGGTAGCACAATAACAGGGAAAGCTGGAAGAGTGGCATTTCTAGAAACTTGTACACACTATTGGGGCTACTAATGCAAGTATGCTTGCAAGACGCCCACAAAGCCATAGATCACAATTTTTTTGTCAATAGGGGAAGCACCCACTATAATATTATTAATGCAGCACATGAAATTTCAAAATTGAGATGTACTCTACGATTGCTTGGTATGCTTAGGACCTCTTGAACAAATTTGAATCACGTCCGCCGCATGGAAGTTATTTTATTTCGATGGCAAAAAGCGTATGAGAGCTTAATAAAAAATGGAGTGCCCCTGTGACATCGACACTAGTGCTACGTGTTCAGTGTGATGTACTCCATGCACACCATCCTGAGTAACGATGTGCTAGTAGCGATGACGTCTAAGATCCGAGTGTTCTTATCCTGCAAATGCACTCACTCGCCATGTCTGATTTTCGTCGCACTGCTTTGAACGATTTCGCGAGATTACCAAGATGCAAACCGCCCATAATACAGTTGACTCCTAATAAACGAAACTCTTTTAAATGAAATTGCTGCTTAAATGGAACAACTTCCCATAATATGTTTGGTTTTGTACTTGAATATTATTGAAACTCCTCTTAAAGAAAACATTTTCCTGGTCCCTTCAGGTTTCGTTTAAAAGGAGTCTACTGTACTAGATCGACGAAAGAAAAGGGTATGATTTAACGCATGCTCGTCAGTCAGAGAATCGGGGAACCGTTGGGAGTTGCAGTCGTGTGGTTCAAAGCGCAAAAAAATCGCAATGAGAGTGTCTTATCATTACGCATATGTTGCACGCCAACACGACCACAAGCTATCGAAGTGGAGTAGCGTATAGACAGATATCACTAACAAGTAACACGCAGGTATCACTAATAATGAATTTTACTTCATCCGTAGACTTCTTTGCGTCCGCGTAATACCGGGTTAGTGCCGCCGCCGCCACCGTGAGAGGCCGGATAGGTGGGGTCATCTGGAGGCACAAAGAACAACCTCGTAACAGCCAACGTATCCTATTTCTCCACTGGTGCACTTCTCCTATACAGTTATTTCATTGACCCCTTTGCGTAAACGTGAATGCTGTGCACACCACACACACCTATAAAACCAATTAAGACGCACGAGCAAACGTGGCCGAAGCATGCTTCCTCGGGCACCTCCTCATTGCTGCTTGGAACGGCGTCTACTTTGGAATCGCTGTTCTTCAAAAAGTCAATCAAAGCAAAAATGTTATGCAACATCACGAATCATCGCGATTCCAAGCTCCGGACTGTCGTATTCAATCCTAGTCGACATTTTGTACGCCGACGATGGCAATGCAGGTGACAAGGCACGACTGAATGTGTGCGTATAGCAGACGAAATGTGGCGTGGTCTGCAGGTGACCGCGAGGTAGCACCACTGATAGAGCTACTAGTGCTAAAAACGGCATTTTGAATCGTGCTAGATACCAGTGATATAAATCAATAAAGGTGATAGTTATTCATCCCTCAGCTGCATTATAGGTTGCGAATCGCTACTAGGGGGCCGATAGCTACTCGTTGATACAAAATTAACACGAGTAACTTTGATGTCAGTGCTCCTATAATGATTCTGTGAAGAAGCAAGGTACCCGCTACGCACTGACAAAACATTATATGCACTTTGCTGATGTGGTAGCTGATGATGGTGGAGAGTTTTGGCTGAGTCCTTTGTAAGGGTTGCAAGCATTCAACGACCGACTTGTCACAAAATTGGCATTGTGTGATGCCTGGTAACAGAATTCAAATTGTGTGACACCTGGTTGTTATTTTACTCTTCCACTACGCTATACTACACATTACGCGGTTCTTTCTCAGCATAACGCCTGTATAGGCTTTTTTGCGAATAAAGTTTCACATATAGGCACGACTCTGTGGTAGAACGCTGGGCTGCCAAAAAGAGGACCCAAGCTCGAACCCCATTCTGTTCTGAATATTTATCTTGTTTCATGTTTTTTTTTTTGTTATTTTGAATGATACAGGTTACAAACACCAGCAGCGGCAGCAGACAACTACGGCGCCAAAAAACGACACTTGTGGTGATTTTATAACAGCTTTCATTGTAAAAGAACAAAGAGAGTGTCTATGAAAAAAAATGCCTTCGCCTTCGTGAAAGGAATCGTAAAGGAATGGAATGCACTGCGTAACATCCACAACGACGTTTTGCACTCGAGAGCCCAGCGTTAAAAGAATAATGCTTTTTTTTCTTACACCGTGCAGCTAATAGCACCGTTTGTTATGCGTGGCATTTTTCTGACGCAAGAAACACAGTATGCGTTTCCAACTCTAGTAGCTAGCATGGACAGTTAGAAAGTACTATGAAGTGAACAAAACAAACAGCGCTCTCGGCTCGGCGTTTCACAGCGGCATCTCGAGCACACTTTTCCGTATGTTCTTGAGAGGCGCCCAGCCAGTGAACAGTCAAGAGAGATGTGCGAGCGGATGAGAAAGTGGGGTGCAGGGAGGAGAGAGGGCGAACGGCAAGAGAAAAAGCGGGGAAGCACTGCACCTGTCACTGTACCTGATGGCCATAATGTCAACGTCTTAACACAAACGCTACACAAATGCTAGCAGCACACACACTACAAATGCGTTTGAAATGTGCCGCATTGAGACAGTGGCAAGTCGCGTTCAAGTCAAGGAGGTGAAGGCTCTGGTTGCTGTGGGCGCGACGAAGCGCAACATGGTAGGAGCTCAGATTGCTAGGGGCGCGAGCACCCGCAGCTGTTGCTATACACCAAAACGCAGTGAGCTCAGTGCTTGCTGCCATATTGAAAAGCACGTGGCGCAATCTGTTGCAAGTGCGGCAAAGCAACACCCTCAGCTGCCAAGCGAGCAGACGCTCTGGAAATTAAACGCGAAACTTCACAACTTGAGTCCGACTGTAAGCATATTTCGCACTGTTCCTTTGCTGGAATTTTGTGCTAATTTCGTGTGAAACATTGAGGCCTCGACAATTCGGAATGTCTGAAGCACGTGAATTGCAGACTGCGGAAGTAACTTCATCAGGTATGTATTATTCGACTTCTGAAAGAAACGCGAACAGCGGAAAGCGTTAACTGCGGCATGCTTTGGCTGTGACAAGGCAGAATTTGTGCTGTAAGCCGGCGTCAACATAGCGCTAGAATCTGGCTCCAACTTACGCTCATGCACCGCATGTGTATCAAGTGCCAGTCCTGCCGGGCACTCGGAACACACACGCGGTGCAAGAGTGCCAGCCAAAACGAGATTTTAAAATGCTACGGTGACGCCGGCTGAAACCACGTATAGATTCACCTAGTGACAGTCAAGGCATGTCGCAGTTCAACCGAGTCCAAAAACTATCATTTCCGCACTGTTCACGTCTCTTTGCATCGCGATAGTAGGCCGTTACAGTTATACTTGACATGAATGGTGCGTTCATCCACGCGTGAGTCGTAATACGTATATCCTGTAATTAACATGGGGCCTGCGAAAGAGTACGGCAATAGTTTTGTGCCGCATACTACAGGCTTACTGCACGCAAGTCGCTGCTAAAAAGCGGAAC